TCGACCAAAATGAAACACGCGGCCTCAGAAGGAAGCATTTTGTTTCCAAAAAGAAGCACATGGCGCTTAACGTGTTAAAGAGCTAACAATTGTAAATGCCTTCGATTTCAGGCGATGCCGCCGCTGCGTAGGTATTTAGGCGAACGGCGTGTATGCTAGGGGTTGTCACGAAATTAGAAATAAATGATTTTGGATATTATAATACATATGTACTCTTTATCATTTATTGCATTATGTTAAAACATTTTCTTATAGAATAAGAGCACACAGTCCATCTGAAGATAAGTGGATGCTGTGGCCTATAGACATCTACTCGATTAAGAATCAAAATGCATTAGTGGACGAATGTAGCAAATGCATGAAGGTTCCTAACAAAATTGAATTTTTATTTTGGCCCCCGCATCCGTCAGCCATTAACCGTATAGATATAACATTAGTTAAATCCAGATTATTTAAACAATGAATAACAACTGAACAAATCTCGTTGGAGCCTTTATGAGCAGTTTCTTCAGTCCAAGTGTACCTACGCAAAAACGTTATCTTCGCAAAGAGGATTACTTGAAGTACCCCTTACAATAGTGCTAGTGATTATAAAAATACAACTGTCGAGAATATTAAGTGGATTGACAGGGTATCTTAGGTAATGGTAAATTTTTTGGCAGTCAAAAGAAAGGTGCATCTCATGGTCTTCTTCTCTTTGAAGAAGTTTGAAAAAAGCTTTCGCGCGAAGATTGTGAATGCGAAATTCTGTCATGAGTTTAACTTTTTCCGATGCGTTGTTTTCTACCTTTATTCTTTCAGTTAACTGTAGACACGTCGAACATACGTCGTCTGGGGCTGCCAAATCCAATCTTGAATTTTGTAACAAAGAAACTGAAACTGACTCCAAAACCCGGAACTGCTTGATCCATGTACATTTTCCATATTTTTTTAATATTTAGCTCTGGGTGTAGGTATTAGCGCTCTCTAACTTTTTCGCGTGCATAGTGGTTTTCCAAAGATTGCAGTCTTAATGTACTTAACAACGGTCTCTCTACGAGAGCGGAATTCAAATTTATTATATATATATTTGTCACCACCACGATTTTCAACTGCTTTTCTTTAAAATTTAATATGCCTAAAAAGGCTTTTTTGCATACTGGAATCAATTTTTGGGTGTTATTTTTACGAATGAAATACTTAGTGCACATTTTTCTTCCTGGTTTGCTTCCAGTTACGGGACATCGTCTTTGTACTTTTGTGGATCTTACATATTTTAAAATAAAATTGTCCTGCTCAATTTTTTATCTGATCTTATAAAAAAAAACGATGGAATAAAAGAACATCTTCTATAAAAATAAAAATTCTATAAAAATAGTAGATTTGTTACTCCAATCCATCACAGTAAATTAGTTTTCTATATTATTTCATGAGAAAAATAAAGTTTATTATAAACTATATTATAGTATGTAAACAAAAATGTCACACGATGTAATTTGGCTTAAAAACTGAGGACTTATGATATTTTCTTTTTACGAAAAAAAATATATGGAGCAAATACGAAGAAACACTGGCGGTCAGTTGTCTTCTTTTGCAATGTATGTAATTGTAATGCAATGTTTAGATACTCCCGAGCACAGACGAGCAGAGTTGCCACCTCAAAAATTATCTTGTCACTCGATCCAGAGTAAAATGTCGCCATATTTTGGAAATTTGGATTGAAAAAAACCACCAGTTCTCGCTATTTTTTTTTACTTAAAATTAAGTACTTTACATGTATTACATGAATGAATTAAAAAAACAGAAGTTACTACATGTAGAATTTTTCACCGCCACGTTTTTTCATATATTGGAGCAAATCGGGTTTGAATATTTATTCATACATTGAAAAAATTAGTCATTAATTTTTGTACGTTTTATCATTCCATCGGCACACCGATAAATATGTGATGTTAAAAGAGGCCTTCATAAATAAGAATCTAAAATAAAATTAGAAAAACACACACAATGAATTTTCGAAAATCCTACTTGTATTAAACGCCAAAACGGGACCACTGTACGATGATACGATACTATGGACATTCTGTTTAACTAATTTCTTTACTGTTCATTCACTGAGCACGTGCAATATCTTACCCATTTTAATCTACTACAACGACACTTTAAAGAATGATAAAACATTAACGTCAATTACTAGAAAATTACAGCGTCTGGGATTCTCCAATCATAGACTAAGTCCAGAAAGAGAACGATTTCCGTCTGAAATCAGTGCTGCCGTATTCCTAATTGAAAAATCGCCAAATATCGCTAAAAATTGAAAGTCGCTAAACGATAAAAAAATGTCGTTAAGAGCTCTCAAACTCACCAGGTCTAGTGACAAAATCACCAAGGTGGCAGCACTGTAGACGAGTGGGTACGAGCACGAGTATGTAAACGCCTTGTTCGGGTGTTCTCGCTACTTGGCCCGTGTGTTCGCCTATTCTCCACTGGATGTCGATTTTTTAGCACGAGTTAAAGAAATCCTCTTGTGTATTCGTATCGCTGTTTTCATACTAGTCATTATTCGCTTGACCCGTGAATTTTGTCGTAAGTGGTTATTATTTTTCTTATAAAATAATTTAAAAAAATAATAATAATAACCTTATCTACTGCGATTGATTGGCGTAACGAATCCACTAATTTAATGGAACTTTATCAGAGTTATAAATTAATACTATTAAAAATAAATATTGCATCATTCTCATATCATTACAGCTCTTCACAAGTCCACTGCTGAACATAGGCCTCCCCCAAGGTATGCCACAAAGCACGGTCCTGAGCCACCTGCATCCATCGACTTCCTGCATGTTTTACCAGGTCTAGTGGGGGGACACCCCACACCCCTTAAATAAATATTTGAGTCTATAAATATTAAGAAGACATAAATTCGTAACGAGACGAACGTCATCCATGTTTAAAAGATCTATGTTGAACGAATACAGAAAAATATGTAAGTGCGTCGTACTCCTTTACGAATAACTCGGCGAGTTCTTTACGAATAACTCGGCGAGTTATTCGTCTGATAATCTAAACGTACCGTTACAACATCCACGAGTCGATTTGGGATAGGATGTATGCGCAGACGGTCGCTTCACGGTTTCAAACTGTGTGAACACCTATTTTTTAGATCGTGCAAATTGAGTACATTATCTGCTTAAAACATAAATATAAAAAATAAATAAAACAACCAAATAATATGAAATTCAATATTATTTCGTTATGCTTTTTATTAATACAATATATTTGCATACCATACACTATCGGTAGTATATAAATTGATGACCAATCATTGAACAATGAAAAAATGATATTCATCAATTTTTTGTTTAACATTCTTTTAATAAATAGCTGTATACAAAAACAATTATGTACAGGATAAGGCAGTACAATTACCACGTAAAATGTGCCTTGTCTTATTTTAGCTATACAAGCAGTAAAAAATGGAAATTGAATAACGTTAAATGAATGTTTTAAACAAACACGCAATTACTATAATCATCTTAGCTCCAGTCAATTGAAATAATCACTAACAAGTTAAATATAATAACAATTAAGCACGATTAGTTTGTGAATTTGTTACTTAATGGGATAAAGCGGACGCAGCATGACAACACCGCGGCCCAGCCGGTTCACTTGCTATTCAGACCTGTTCAATTTGGGACGTACATAACCATCTCACTAAAGCATATGGCAAAACGTTGCAAGCTAACATTTCTACAACCAATATTCAGCTATCAAAGTTGTTGACGAGACTCGCATCCACTAGCCCAAACAAGCTTCGTTTAAATAAATAAAAAACTGCATACATTCATTTATTATCCGCACAGAATGTCTTTTATTACATATACAATAATGCTACCATGTGATTCAATAATAAAATCATAATTACGCCGAAATAAAAATAAAATACTAAAAATATTTGGATCAGATACAACCTAAAACGCAAATTAAAAATAAATTGACTTTTGAGACACGATATCCTTAATCTAAATGGATTTAGGCCATACACAAGTACATAAGTAATGAGCTAGTGGGACGAAGCGATAAACTTTCGTACAATAATTTGAACACTTGATAATATCTTCGCTCAAACTTAAAATCGAATGGGTGTGTATATGTGGCGAATTAGAGATCGTTGCAATAGGTGTAACAATGGTCCGAAATGCGCTAAATAATCACAAACACAAATAACGACGGAACAAACTCAGCGCTTTAAAACTTTCAAAGTCATATTGCCAATTACCTCGTATAATACAGGTTAAAAACCACTTGTGAGCTTACAATAAATAATCTGTATTTAGACTACAGATTGCATTGATTCGATGAGTTTTTAATCTGTACACAACGAAGTCACCCGCGAATACGCGGTTTTAAAACCTAACCAGATTCGAGCTCACACTTTCTATCCAACCTAACTGTACAATATGACACAGGCACCGATCGCAACTGCGCTCCGTTCAAAAACTTCGTACGCACATTTTTCATTTAAGATTCGACAAAGTCTTCGGAACGTATCACGCCTTATAAAACTAATCGGTCGACATCACACTATCACGCCTTATTTTCTCAAATAACCCTTCAATATTAAAACTCGATACTTATAAAAGATTTATCAACGCTATTTTCAAACAATATTAAGTTATTTCAAATAAAGGAGGATCACAAGAGAGTACATAACGGCAGACCAACAGGGAGCGACGCAAATCGTTTTCAACGCGGCTCCCGTCCGGAGAAATAATCTAAACGATACTTTTAAAACACTGGCACTATTGCCCTAAAAAGCGTTTAACTGAGGAGTAATAAAGGCTTGACTCGACTGCCGCCGGCGACTAGATAACTTTATTTAAAAACTTTAGTTACACTCCAACCGTGAGGACTAACTGTCGCGCCGTATTTCCACCAATCACAGTTCAACTTGTGGCCGCGATCCAATCCATCGCGGAGTGACGTGACGCAGTTGTTTGGACGGAGTTTGCGTCGGTTTATATCACGAGCGCCATGTCCTTCTTGCTGGGGAGTTGCACCTTCTTGCCTTGCCACAGCGAATTGTGTATCGTGAAGGCGTCGATTGTGACCGTGAGGTGCTTCGTGTGGATTTGTGAGAAGCACTTGCTACCCGAATTATATCTGTGGAGCAAAAGTAGCACACAATTTAAACATTTCATATAATTATTAAATTATCAACAATCATAAATAATTTAAAAACTAATGTGAATAGAAAAGATCTCTCCGTAATTGCGATTTGCTGTATAATTATGCTACATATTATACCCTGCTTTTGGTCACCGGTCTAATTATTCGTAGACTAGGCATATTGCGCGAGATGAAATGATGAATTCATTTTAGTCGTCACTAAATACTATTGTCATGGCTTGAGTAGAATAGAAAACATAGATCAAGTAATATCTCGTGCAGTGAACTACTTACTAACTAATCACTAGTGAATGTTGTAGTAGTCTAATGAAAAAAGCAAATGATGAAATAGGTAATTATTGACCAGGAGCAACTTCAAACGCGCAAAAATATAGATACTGTAATTGTCAAGCGTAGCCATCATTGAGTTTAATAGTCAACATTTATTCAGATGAATGTAATGCGTTGGAGGGTAATAATAAAGCTGACTCACTTAAAGAACTTATCGAACATCCTGTCGTTGACGTGCTTGGGGCCGGTGCCGTAGAGCTTGGTGACCTGGTCGGTGTCAGGGCAGTAGGAGTAGAGCGCGCGGAACTGGCAGCCGGCGTCGCGGAACAGCACGAGGAAGTGCTTGCTCTCCGAGCGCGCGATCTCCTCCAGCACGCGCCGCTTGGCCTCGGCGTTCACCGCGCCCGGGAACACGCAGTACTCCACCGCGTTCAGCATGATGCCGCGGTTCGACTTCGTCGTCGGCTGCTTGTACAGCTTCGGGCCTGCAATTCACCCACGCATCATGTTTCGTGTAATCTAACAAGTCCTAGGTGTTTGTAATCGTCATTCAGCTTTCATTTGTAATACTAAATTTTTTCCGAATATTATAATTATATAATTCTATAGTGGATAGAAGAAAATGTATTTATATTTATTGCTATGTTGTAGTTTTTGCCAGCAATTCATTTGATATAATTGCAAAAGTGAAAAAAAGAACACAAAACTATTCTTCTTAACTGGTTAAAAGCAAACATAATATTTAGAAATTCGGGCAAAAACGTTTTTTTATCATAAAACGTGAAAATCAAAATATAAATACCAACTAAATTATTATGTGTCGATTTATGTAATATATACGAAAATCTTAAAATCAAAAACGTTAAACCGACTATGTCTGTACTGGTACTACTAAGTAATAATAATAATTGTATTTACGACTACGAATGCTAGTGACTTGTTAATGAAGTGCCTTTTGATGCTGTGTTAATTTTAGATAAAAACAATCTCAGTGAAAAAGCGGATGTCAAAAGCGTCGTCAAACGTAAACGCAATGTTAGAACGGTAACGTACAAATCACAAAACCATGCCTTATAGTAAAATCAAACAATCAGGGTGTTGGCATGACATCGTTGCATTTCTTGCAAAACGTGAGCTACCTACGTAATACAAAAATATAAAATAATCTATGAACCTTTACGCCGTTCCCGAACGGAGGTTGTTTCTAGAACAGAATGCACAACTAATAAGATCGTTTATCAACTACTCTAAATAAAAAGAACTTCAGACTCCTCTACATGTATAGTTTTTACATATATAGTTATAGTACGTACTGAGAAACAAAAGTAATGAATAGATAAAAGATGCATACGACACAACAATTTTTATTGATTTGCCTATGTCCGTAAACTAAAGGTCCATTAGGTACATCCTTACACACATTTACTAAAATACAATTTTTAAATTTGCAATTTTTTTTTACTTGGTTTACATGAATGAATAAAGAATGGTATCGTTTTAAGGAAATATTTAGCTCGGCGAATTATCCTCAACCCGCTGTCCCATTTATAAAAATGTGAGAGTAACAAGAAATATAAATGGATAACGCAAGCTCCTGAAACCAATATTTCACGAAGGTTCAGTCTATAAAAGGCGAAACGGCAAATTTTTAGTAGTTCCTTCTGCTCTTAGTACGTAAAATACAAAATAAAGGACGGTTTCATCGTGACACCTGACATCAAAACGAGTAGTTGCGTATCCTTAGTTTGTGCGGTAGTCGATTATATAGGAGAGGTTGAATGTCGCAACTAATACTAAAGGCTCAATATGGTGTAAGATTATTAATAAGGTTCAAAGCAACAAACATACTCTTATAAAATAAAGTATTAATGAAACATAGTAATCTTTTTCATACAATTTTTTTGCTGTTTACAAAAACTTTTTTATAAATAAATATTTGAATTTAAAAAATTATTAATCCTAGTCTGGTCGAGTTTAATATTCACTTCCGTGTCCGAAAAAGGCGCAATATATTCCTGCAATTACATCAACAATAAATAAGATTAAAATATATTGTGATTGATGTATGAGAATGTATTATTGTAATCAAGATTCTTTAATTTGTTAATGTGTCTGAGTACAAGTGGCTGCTATTAAGCAGCGGCTTACAGAGATTACAAGGTATGTTTAATGAAAATCATTGATAGTAACGAAATTCGTTAAACGATCTATTGATAATTTGATAAATGAAGTTTGACGTCAGAAGCTTATGTCGTAACCTCTAGATGTTCTTACTCGATGGCTACCTACATGTAAAGCTATGTATGTCCCTTTGTTTAGGTTTTTTTCGCGGGATATTTTTTATTTATTTGTGATAAATATTACATTAATAAAATAATAACGTGGTATATTATAAAAATATCCTATAAACATGACTTAATAATAGCCTATAAAAGTAACTTTACGTATGGGGTTGAATTTTTAACATATTATATTTTTGTAGAGTATATTAAAGTAGAATTTGTGACTATTAAGTGTTCATGATTCGCGTCATCAGTGAGAGCTTATAAATTTCACGCTCATCAGATGTCGCACAAGTTAACAAAATTGTTACACAATGTCATTACTGTTGAAAAGTTGCCTTCAAAATAAAAGTTTATCGGTTCATAGTATAAATAAAATACACAAAACCATGCTTTAATGGTTTTGCTCTTTTTAATTTTTCTACGTTAAGCAATATCCGCAGTTTAGTTTATCCATTTGTAATCTAATATAGAATATACTTAATTACGACTAAAAATTAACTTAACTTATGAATCCTGACAAAAATTTCACCAGATTCTTAAGCGGTACCGCCTTGATGGTGGCAGTAGAAGTGATGGATGCGCTGATTAGCGATCGAGTCGCGTGTGTTGTACTCACCCGAGTAGTCCATGATGGAGGAGTGCGTGGATGAGACGTCGGAGGCGTCGTCCAGCGGCGCGCGGCGGCGGCCCACAGCCGTGTGCGCGCCGGCGCTGGGTAGCGAGCCGGGGCCCGACGCGCCGCCCGCACGCACGCCCGGCGACGCGGCGCGCCGCGGCGGCGTCGCGCGCCCCAGCCCCGAGTCTGGGAACGCGCCTTCGTTATCCTACTGCCCACACACCACCTACCCCGCCGACCTACAGCCTAACATGAGCTCGCTCAACGCTCAACGTAGTGAGGCATCTCCCTTGCACTTGCTAATACAAAACAGACACTCGAGAATTTTCCATTCCCGGCGTTGTTGTCGAGCTTTGGAACGGTATCCAACTACCACCTTCAACTTACTAATCATAGCCCCAATGGATATTGGGTCCAATCCCCGCTTCCCTTTAATATTGTAGGTTTAATATTTTATATTTAGTTTTCAGTCTTCATCGAGGGTCTCACTGTCGCTTTTCATCTATATTTTATTTAGTTTTTTTTTTTTGAACAAACTAAATATCTTTAATTATATAATTCAAAATTACAACAACTCATACAGTGTCAATATAGCATCTTTAATAAATTAAATTTCTATTAAAATTAATGATTATATTAAAAAATAGAATACTGTTTTAACATGAATTGGCTATAAAGTATTATTCGTATTATTTACAATTACAAGTATGTTACGCATTCCCCAGTTAATGTCGCGATATTAGGTAAATTGTTTATTAGACTGGCATAAAATTAAAGTTAGTAGAAGAAAGTTTTTTAGAATCATACAAGTATATGCCTACCATACACTACAGAAAAAATTACTATTGTACTCTTAGAATAAAACAGACTTCATATTAAGAGATTTCCTTTCTGAAAACGTTATCTAATATTTTAATATTTCTGTACATATTCATTGCTTCACTCAATGAAAATATAACTTAAATAAAAAATTTGTTTCTCAGATACTGAATTGGCTGTCTCGTTAAACGAATTATTTTTAAAATACGTACCATTGTAACATTATTATCACTTATTATTCACTTTACCACTACATATTTAACCAACGTGCTCATTGACTAGGCTTAGTTTTTGGATTGTTAAATACATCACTATCACACACCGTCATTTCAGCCCATCACAATAACAATGCTGGCTCATGTTCAGCATTATTCATTCTTGTTCTGCATTCTCCTATGCATTACCATAAATTATGGTCCTGAGCCAATTGCTTACATCGACTACTGCGACTATCTGCATGTTTCATCAGGTCATCACTCTATCTAGTGCAGGGACACCTTACACCGTACTTGCCAGTATGAGGTTCCCACTCGAGAGCTTACTCAATTTTCCGTCGGTTGTTGGCCGACTATACAGAATTATTTTGCAATATACACCCAAATTTGAAGAGAAGATTCAGAATAATATAGGCGAATAGTAAAGAAAAATTAATTAAAACATCTCAAACATTCTGTGCTTTTAATCTTTTAAATTTAGAATGCATTGTTGTAACTGGTTGTCATCCATAGATATCTAACTCCTACTGTTTTACTACGCACGCACACATTCATAAGGGTCCCTCGACCCTCGTTCGACAAAAACGCTGGGATTTAAATCGCAAATCGGGAAGCGCACGTACACGTAGTTGTTGCCCATAAACCACATTCAATTTAGAATAATTTAAAATAAAAGTAGAAGCCTTATTTACTATTAATTGCAAAAGCTGGCAATAACGGTATATCATTTCATATACTTATACTCATATATTTGAACTTAAGACGAGGCTTGGAGCTAAACGCAAGTTTTATAATGCCTCAAAGTATATGATCAGAAACAGAATACAAACTCAGAAAAACATATGATATTTTTTTGGATATATGCTAGTTAGATATTTTGTTGAAAACATGATACTACTAATTTAATACGACGGAAAAAAATCACAAATATATCTCTAAAAAATTTCTTTTAACAAGTGAAAACCATGTTAATATACATGCTTGATTATGATTTTTTTTAAATCGCATATTCTTATCTCTGAAATAATGCGTACGGATGTGTGCGTAAACGTAAACGTAGACGTGTCGCTCTTTTTGCCGCAGTATTTAGGTTAAGATTGTTTAACATTCACATCAGCGGCTCTTAACTGTTTCTGATAACACTCAGTAAGTAATGTGATAAGTTTGAGATATCACTCGATTCGTCAGTACTAAGTGTCACACATTACAATTTTTGTTACATATATTTCTTTCCATACCTCGAAAGAAAAAAGGAACCCAAAATTTGGATTACATATACAAAGATTTATAGTATCACATGTTGTCCGTCTGTCTGTCTGTCTGTCTGCGGGCTACTTCCCGTTGATCTAGAATCATGAAATTTGGCGAGAAGCTAGGTATTGGAGAACTAGTAAAGAAATCTGAAAACTAAATTATTTTAGTTATTTTTATATTTTGTATTCATTTATTGGTGCAACTCCGGACGGGTTAACGTGTGACGATAAAATAGTGGAAGTCAAATGCCCAATGACAACCTTCAAAATGGGGATAAAAGAGGCTGTTAAAGCAAATAAAATTCAAATATATAAATTCAACAAAAAAAAAATGAAACATATACAATAAACTCTTAAATGATACTAACATTCTCTCTATTCCAAAAAAAATTAAAAAAAGTTACCAAACAACCCTTCATGTCCGAGTCCGGCTCACACTTGACCGGTTTTTTTATAACTCAGTTATTTAAGCAATATTATGTGTGAGGTTATGTTTATTGAATGATGAGTTGAAGTGTAACATAAAACAGTTAAAGAAATATGAATTTCTATTGGTTTCATATGAAACTATCCTTTTTCAGTTATTTTTGCCAACAAAACTTAGGTTTTCCTAGAATTTATGAGTTGGCGTTTTAAATGGTTATTATCTATGTATTATGTTTATTATGTTGTCATATATGTAAATGGTTAGACTTAAAAAAAAATATTGATAATTAAAATGTAGTCTGATGTCCAGACCTCGTAAACGGAACCCCCAGAAGACACAAGTTTGCGCGTTAACCGCTAAAAAGAACCCCTTTGTCGTATACCCTCAGTTTCAAGGCACTCCCCTTGTTGCCTCAGCCAGTATCGGAATCCTCGGCGTCGACATATCGAGTGACGTGCAGTTTCGTGGTCACTTGGAAGGGAAGGCCAAATTGGCCTCTAAAAAGCTTGGCGTGCTCAGCAGAGCGGGACAGTATTTCATGCCGGCACACCGCCTGCAACTTTACAAGGCGCAGGTTCGGCCGCACATGGAATACTGTTCCCATCTCTGGGTGGGGCTCCCCAGTACCAGCTTCTTCCACTTGACCGCATCCAGCGCAGAGCGGCTCGAATCGTCGACGACCGAGTGCTTTCCGATCGGCTCGATTCACTGGCGCTGCGAAGAGATGTTGCATCTCTTTGCGTATTTTATCGCATCTATCACGGGGAGTGCTCTGAGGAATTGTTCGGATTAATCCCAGCCGCCAAATTTCGTGAACGCACTACACGTCAAACGTCCCGATACCATCCACACCATCTGGATGCTTGGCGGTCCACCACAGTACGTTTCAAAAGGAGCTTTCTTCCGCGTACGACCTCTCTGTGGAATAATTTACCACCGGCGATTTTTCCGGACCGATACGACCTGGGGACCTTCAAGAAAAGAGCTTACTCCTTTCTAAAGGGCCGGCAACGCACCCGCAATTCCCCTGGTGTTGCGGTTGATCATGGGCGGCGGTAGTCACTTAACATCAGGTGAGCCGCATGCTCGTTTGCCCCTTTTTCTATAAAAAAAAACGGTTTTAACAACTAGGTAGTAAAATATTATTACTACCTAGTAGTTTTGCGAACAAGAGACCTCACGAAAAAGTTTTTGTTTGGAGGTGAATTGTCTGCTTGCTTTGCGCATACTGTGTTAACGCAGTGCTCTCAACTGGCGGTTGCGCTCTCCCACTGCGGGACGCGCGGGTGAAAAACGAATTTGAAATCGTGCTTAGACCTCGTCTTAAATATAAAATTTGGATACTTTTTGAAAAATAACCCTGTACGTTTATGTTAAATACTTACAGATGAGATATTGATGCTTTTCCTTTTTTTCCACGATATAAAATAAGAAAACTGATCAATGCAAAGATAAAACATTCATAAACTAAACTTCACAGCATAAGTCATCTTCGAAAATTGTTTTACTTTCTAATACTTACAAAAAATTTCAAATTTATCTTTTCTTAGTGGCGACATAAAGAAATTCACAAGCCCATATCATCGTATGGAAGTCGCTAGAGGCGACAGATGGTAATAAAACAAGTGATATGCAGCAGCATCATTTCCATCCAATAGTAAATAAAATTCAATAATAAAAAAACTGCGGTTGCCAACCTGCAATCTATAGGTGAGACCTTTGTTCAGTGGCTTTAGGCTGCAATGAATGCATAACTATCGCTACTTATCTGTTCTACTCTGTATATGCACCGTAATATAACATATTATTTTAGCGGCTATTTTTTTTTTTTTTTTTTTTTGTAGAACATAGAACTACGACCACATTTTTTGTAGATCATTATTTTGGAACAATCCACGTCGTCAAGTACAGATGATAAAGGCAGATTACGAATATTAAGTCAACTTAAAGTACCCCATTCGCTTCTACAGCATTTGCTTTATTCTTGTTTTATTTTAAATTTAACCTAAATAAATACTTAAGACATTGATGAATATTAATAAAAATAATATAACTTATGAAAAGTAAATAATCGAGTACGAAATCTTTATATTATATATATTTGGTATCTATAGCTTTGTTGGATAAAAATGTAGTGGTAGCAGAACAATTTTAAATATTTTTACCCTTCTATTAATATTTAAAAAGCAAATACTAAATGTAAATTTGAGTATACAACGTTTAAGTTAATTAAATATGTATAGGATTATTCCAGTACGATTGAAGCGCCTACTATTGACAGCAGACAGACAGCTAACGCAAAATAAATGGCGAACAGAACATAACAAGCCGTACTCTTTGGTAATCTACAATTAAAACAAAACATAAATAACGTATATTAGCAACGACTAGAAAGTTTTTTTCAATAAGAACAAATAAACATCGAAATATTTTGTGAACTAAGAATAAATATCCTTTACAATAAAACATAAACGCATGTAAGCAACGTACTTAGTTAAAAATAAATACTTTACCATTCTTCGAATTTCGAACTCTGTGAATAAATAATACTTGGTAACATAATTACTAGTCACTACATAAGTTGATATTCATGACCTCTTGCTTTATTTTCCAATCTAGACTATTTATATTATATATTATTATTATTATACCTAAAAGGCACATTCTTTGTTGCATTTTGAAATAATACTATGGCCAAATTTAATATACGACTAGTAAAGGATATTTTGTAATAACTACTTGTGCAACGATAAAATATCGTTAATCGCAATACAATATCATAATAACTTAGAATACCTACTGCATTATATAACGATGCCACACCATCACCACATAATATAATATAATAGATAATAACATGCATAATATACCAATAAAAAGAACCTGAAATAAATGTTACCACCACCTTATATATACTATAAAATGGCCTGTAACCAAAATAAAGAACCAAGATGTGCACAAGACAGTACAATTAGCTCTCAGAGGACGTTCTCTACAAATGTTTGTGCTTATAAATAAATCTTTTTAGCTTGAAATAATATATTGGATAACTAAAATTAAAAACATAGCAAAATATTTTAAATGAACCAAAAAATAAAACTTGCAATTTAAGCTTTAAAAAGCAGAAAACATTTATTTATTGACAATCCTACGCATTTCACCTTGATTAGATAAACTTTGAATGATAATTGTATTCACTTTTAATGACAAAAATAACCAGTTGTAATATTATACAGGAGTAATTAGACAAGTTAAGGCGAGACGGCGATAGAGACGTCCTCTTACGAGCGTCGCAACATAAATGAGAACCCAACGCACCAAGCCAAGGTAACCGGCAGTACCAACGTGAGTGAAGCCTGTATGTACATTGGTGTTGATTCAAACGTGTCTTACCGCACAAGTTCATAAGAGAGCTAGATTTCCTCCCAGCCTTAAAGTTATTCTGGTAAGTGGTATATTTAGACCTTCCACGTGACGACTGAGCTTCATCATTCACACGCTCTGAAATGTTTCCTTATAAATGTCATCACGCAATCACATGCGACGCGTTTGTTACGCGTTATTATAGCGGTCCTTGGAGCGAACAGCATGCAGCCACAAAAGCACGCTCCGCAATGTACGGCATATCTCATTAAGATGCGAGATGCACTGATTAATGCAAACAAAATTAATGCTATGTCGTCTGACACAAGGCAAATTGTTTAATGGTCCAAAATTACAATAATTGTACGGGAATCAAAAGATGCGCGGAAGGTCTAGGGGTTGGTCCGAAATTTTGGATAAAGCTATAGAAAAAAACCGTTTGATCGATTTTAGTTCCAGGTTGCAAACTACATATTTATAAATATATGGCCAAAATAGGTATAAAAGCGATAATTTTGCATTTTGGAGTGTCTCTAAACAAATCTATGCATTGCTGTAATCATACACATATAAATAACCAATTGAAATAATAAATAAAGATTCAAAGCATCTACAAATAAAATCCAAAAAGCGCTTTATACTGACTATAGGAAATTGAGCTATATGGCTATTCATACAGAGCTGATGTTTCTGATCAATCTTAAATAGCCGTTTAGTCTACTTTTATGAATAAGCTTTTGTAATTGCTTACGAAAAGCTTAAGCACTAATTTATTTGATATTAAAAAACTATAGACGAATTTTGTAACAGACAAAATTTCACGAATTCAATGTTGTTACAAAATGTTACCAGTGTTGAAAATTTTATAATTTAACAGTCAACACATTGAAATTGTGATAATGGCAACATGTTTTGATTGCAGTTTTGTATTATTTTATTAGGGAATCTTATCAAAACATGCCGCCAGTTACCAAATAATGGTGTACTCAATTCAAAAATGGCAACAATTTTATATACAATTATTATCATTTCTCTGGAAAAATTATATGTTTTATCGAATTAAGTTTTTTAGATTTTTCATAAAAATAATCGAATTTATTTAATTATAAGTTCAAAAAAATGTAATACCATTTTTAAATTGAGTGAAAACGTGGTTGCTAGAAAAACGAACGGCTGGATTAGTTTTCGCACACTATTAGATATCATACACTCAGCTCTGGAGTGAAAAAGTGAAAAAGCACCGCGCCTTTTATAACTGATATTTGCTTATGTTGCTAGATCAAGAAAATACATTGGAAATTGAGCACATGCTTGCTTTCATTTTAATACAGTGATGGATCAATTGAGAATTTGCTACACGTCTCCTGTGCTTTATGGTAAACTTCACACAAGTAGGCTCAGTCGTTACATGGTTTCAATGGCAAGTATGTTGCTATGTAAAAATAAACCATAAATTACAACGATCACCACGGTGATGGCACTGCGCTTATCCAGAGCTGCGAGTACAAGACGAGCAGGTGGGGGGAGAGGGGGGGGGGGACATGTGTCTGTATGCGTACTCACCACGCGACGTTTTGCACGAGCCGCGTCTTGCGAGTGGCCCGCTCGACGCACTGCTCGGTGATATACCGCCGCGGTCTTCGATAGGAGACTCTACAATAATATGCGAGACTAACTTCACTTTCATGTAATAAATGATGTCTTTAATTTGATAATGATGTTGGTTTAACTACTCGGGAGGTATATAGTACATATTAAGTATTGGATGAATGATATATAAACATGTATGGTAGACGTAGAACTCTTTTTATGTTAAGAGTTTGTCTGGATACGTAGTGGTACCTGTATCTTACATATTTCTGCCGTCAACGTCAACAAGCAGTGCTGTGTTCCGGCCTGAATGGTATTGAGATAAAGTGTAATTACAGGTTGTGAAACATCTCATCTTACTCTTTAGCGGTTACAAAAGATCTGTAAGATTCCTTGTTTGAATTTGGCTGCAAAAGTTCATGGACTACATACCACTACTACAGGTGGACTGAAGTTCGTTTGTCATTCGCTCTACACAAAAAAAATCACAAAATATCAACTGCAATAAACATAATATTATAACGCCACAAGAGTACGCAAACAGAGACTCTCACACGTCCTACCCGGGTACCTGATATATCACTTCAGATTGAAAAGATTGCAATGTCAATAATGAATGAAGCAATCACCTGAGCAAACCCAAAACCTAATAATTTATGTATATTCAAAAGTATTGGTTCCGGTAGAATTTAAGTCCGAGTCCGCGGTCGTACCCAAGCATTGTGACCAAAGGTCAAAGGTCAACAAATCATGGAAACACGCTCACATTTTTATTTCTTTAATCTATTAGCTCGACTCCACCTCTCTTTTCTTTCAAAAGGCCCTTAGTCTAACAAGTGGTAAGCTACTAAGCTGTAAAATATAGCTTATATTGTAATCGTGTACCCCTATCTAATCTTTAGACATGTGAAAGGCCAAGATATTATCGGTTAAACAAAAAAAAAACAGTATAAGACGATATTTTTGACTATAATATATTCTGATCATGAGTATCTATGCAATATCAAAGTAAAAAACGAAACATAAAGCTCGTTCGATTTTAATTATTATATTATTCGTCGAGCTGATATGGCTTAATGTCGAAAGCGATCACTTCGCGAAATTAACTAATTAGTGTTATTATGGCTTCCAGTACGATTCTGGTATTTATGGGATCGTTAATTCCACGTCAGGGCTAACTTATATTAAGGAATGTCACTTTTTTATAGCAAAACCTATTAAGGTTTATCCTCGATTAAGAATCAAAATGCAAATGCGTTGTCACATCTGAGGACTAAAATGGAATGCCTCGATACCAGTAAAAAGGGTCTCCACTCTTCTACACTCACCATACGAAACACAACAGCATTACGCTGTTATTTTACGCTAGTATTCTGTGAGAACGTGGTCCTGCCCCGGTCGAGCCGACCAATTGGTGCTAGTAGTCGTAATATAGCTGCAGCGTGGATCCACCACGTAAAAAACTTCATTGTCGCTTAATTATTTATTTAATAAATCTATTGATCATTAAGAAATTCACAAAAAATATCGCACACAAAAGCGTCACATGCGGATATTTATTTGTGCGAAATTTGTTAAAAAAATTCTGTTTATTATTTAAAATAAAAATTCGTGCAAATACAACTGAAGCAAATAGCTTAACCTTGGTGAATGGATAAGAATAATTTTCTTTATTATTTCTATTAAAATTAATTTATATGTATATGAACACTTCTTTTTACTGGTAACATTTTGAATCAGATCCATGCACGTAGGCCATCGTTTCTCAATCTGAGTATTAGGCGACTTGTTAAAAAATAAGTTACATAATATTGCAAAAAATCTTAATGCATTATCAATATTAAGTACTGATAGCGATAACTTAAAAGACAAATCAGTAATTAATGCAATAGATGAGCTCGTCATTAAGTACATAGCACACATAGCTATGATTTTATTAGCCGACTTCAAGAAAATACGACTGAAATGATTGAAAATACTTTTTTGTATGTACTGATTTTGATGATTCTTTTTTTTATTAGATATATTTCTTTAAGGATAGTCATTTAAAAATTTAAAATTCAGTTCTACCTCTAAGGGTGGTAAAATAGTTGGGGCATTTATTGTTCCATACATTATATTTCAGCACTTCATAATGCGAAATAATTTTATTGTTATTAGTTGTTTGAGTCGGCTTTTAATTTTAATTAAAAGGTAAATTTTAGTTTGAAATTTAGTTGTAAGCGGGGTCGATTTGATACAAAGAAGTTTGAGAAGCGATGGCGTGGTGTGGGCAGTGTGGGCGACGCTCACCGCGGTAGAGGCCGGCGCGCTCGGCCAGGCTGTCCTGCGAGCCGCGGTAGTAGTCGCGCCGCATCGCGCCCGCTGCCCGCGCACGCGCCGCCGAGCGGGAGGTATAGTGTTACTTTGTGTTGCGATCTCACGCCAAAAAAGAAAGACGACAGAGAAACCAAGCCAAAGCTTTGCTCAACTTATTGTAAGAATACGCACTCACAGTACACGTTTATTATCATTTGCATCCAACATCGTTTTACATACGTGTGCCGGGAGCTCGGCTTATAAAAAAGAAAGATGCGTGAATGCATCAAGAAGTTGAGCAAGGTTTTTGCGTCCCTTAAAATGTACGCAGCGCTCTGTCTATCTTTCTTTGTTGGTATGTAGTTGCGATGCATATTTCATGTCAAATCTATTGAGGTAACAGATATTAACAGTATCAAATGAAGTCACAAAAATATATTTTGACATGAAATAAATTCAGCGCAACATGTAATTTATAAAAGTTTTAGAAATATATAGTTTGTAATTAAACGAAAACAAAAATAACAACATGATTTTACACTTCCATATAACGCCAAGCACTTTAAAAAATTAAATAAAAATCGGACATAGTTTTAATTATTATCAAAATTTCAAACAAGTCGAAATTTAATTCTTTTAGCAATAACATAGCTATTGCATATCAATAGACTGAAAAACTGTTGCAAATCATATTTTGATTCAAAACACACAGTTTATCAAAAACGATCCTAAAAATATTTTTACTATGTCCAATTATATTGATTGTTATAAAATAGAAATTAATATACAACTAGCTAAAGTTAGCTTGAGACCCGAGCGGAATGCGCTCTCCCCTCCCGACCTCCACGCCGCTTACTGCTCTCACCGTTGATGTCAGTACCGTCAGTAAATTCACAATCGATCCCTTACTTTTGGTTTATATTCGTTTGTCTTAATTTTATAATTTTATTAATTGCTTAATTTAAGTAATTGCTGTTTATTTGGTGTTACAATTTGTTCAATAAATTCAAATAAAATGTAAAACAAAGGTTTTTAAAAGTAAAATAAATTAATATTTACATTTTTCTATTTATTTATAGTCGCCTAGCCACCCAGGAAATTAATCTATACTCAATAGTATCCGACAAACACTATTAGATTTTTACAATAGTACAGCGTACTTTTGCCATTCGAGCGAAGTCTCAAGTTAACTTTGACGGGTTGTATGAAATGCCATTCGAAAAGGGGACAACATGATACAAGCACAAATAACGCGAATTATTTTTTACACTCAATTATTTTTGCAATCGTTACATTTATTTTCAAAAGCAACACACATAAAATCAGTTCAGTCAGGAAATCATTAGTTTTTGTGTCAACAAATTATTGCCATTTCGATCAACAAATGAATTGAGTTCTTAGATTGAACTTATTGAAATTTGTGATCGTTTTACTACGTTAGATGTTAATTCGTGAACATTTGTATCACTACATATTTTTGTATCCTATGACATATTTAGAGTTCCGTTAGTCTCGCAAAAACTCCAATACGGCTGGACTGATTTGATAAAATTTCGTAAGTGTGTGTTTGAGTGCATCCCTGGATAGTAGATTTACAATTGGACCTGGTAAATGGCGCTGTTAGCGAGATCCAGGAATCACCCGTGCGAAATCGTGGCAGATCGCTAGTTTATATGTGTATAAAATATTTAAACTCTACTGAAAATTAAAAAAATAATAATTGAGTGCACTAGTTATCTCGTGCTGCCTGAAATAATGTAGACAATTATTGAATAAGCAGTTAATAGTCAGCATGTCGTTGGGCAGTACCGGAGAGGTTGGTGGCGGACGGCTGCTTAGCCAGCATGCCCTCGGCGGCGTGCAGCGCGCCCGAGTCCACGTGAATGGTCTTAGGCCGCGCGCGCGCCGCCTTGCCGCGAAGCCGAGCCGCTACTCCCCCGCCCCCGCCGCCTCCACCGCCCCCGCCACCCCCGCCCGCGCTCGGCGAGTGCCCGCCCGCCTTCAGCGTCTCCAAGAACTCGTTTTTATCCAGCACCTTGCCCTGGAATGGAACAAGTATTCTAAGGATAATTTTTATTCAAATTAGAGTCACAGAACTGCTACAAAATTTTCGAAATTATTAATAAGGCTCTAAGGACCAAAAACTTTGATAGTGCATATTTTTTGAATCTCAGAAGCTATGACATGAGACAAAAATAATATATATAAATACAAGCATGTAATGCAACTACAGAACAACAACTAACCAATCCCAGGTAAAAAATGCGCCGAACCCACCAAAACACCCCCACCCCCACCCTCCTTTTACAAAAAACCAACCCCCCCCCCCCCCTTACTTGCATTAAACACTTCCTTGTAGGAAGAAGAGGCTACAACGTTTATTGAACCGAAGATAAAAATTGTCGATCGAAGTTTCTTACGTAGTACAAATTCCAATTGTCAATTTTTTCCCATAAAAATGGTTACTCTTTACCACTATACTAATATTTTACCGTGCCACCTAAGTGTGAAGTATTTGTCTAATTATGTCTAGTAGGCGATGTTTTATTTTCATAGAATAATGATCCAATTCACCTTGACTTCACTTATTCACAATAATGGTTCAATTGGTAAGTGGATGCTGTAGCCCAGACATCTACATTTATCCTGAATTAAGAACCAAAATGCAGGTGCGTTGTTACCCTTGAGGACTGAGATGGAATGCCTCGTTTCCAGTAAAAAGGGTTTCCAGTTCTCTACACTTATCACACGAAACAGTAGCATTAAGCTGTTATTTTACAGTGGCATTCAAGAGCGTGGTCCTTCCACAATCGAGCTAAACTATTCGTGCTACATCCATAATATAGCTGCGGCATGGCCCTACCACGTACAACAAATGCGAGAAACTCCAGCGCACCGTCCTCGGACGCGCGTCGCGCTCGACCTTAGTAGTATCTGTGTGGTAGGTACCTCACGCTCGGCCTCCTCGATGGCCTTCTTGAGCTTGTACTGCTGCAGTATGGCCTCGCGGCGACGCGCCTGCTCCTGCTTGCGCGCCAGCTTGTGCTCGAGCGCGGCGTCTTCGCGCGCGCGCCGCGCCGCCGCCGCCGCGTCCGCGCGCGCTCGTGCCTCGTCCGCGCGCTGCCGCCGCTGCAGCGACAGCAGCATGATGCGCTCCTTCTTTCGCTCCATCTCCTCCGCCGAATTCTGTAAGTATGCACACGCACAGTAAATATATATAGCTAAAGCAGTAATTCAACTTCACACGAAACATCAACAAACAACAAGCACACATATACGCGCCGCTAAAAGACCTCTAAGCGAATATCGCGATGCAGTCAGTCGCGAATGTCTATGGTGACTTCCTGATAGAGATGATTAAATAATGATGAGAGATGAGTAAATAATGCTATATCTAAATTATTAAATTTTTCATCATCGTCTTTACATCCCTTCCTTTTCACAAGTCCACTACTGAACATAGACCTCGCCCAAGGAATGCCACAAAGCACGGTTCTGGGCCACCTGCCTCCATTGACTGCCTGCATCTTACCAGGTCGTCACTCCATCTACTCATCGTCGTGGGGGGTCGCCCAATAGTACGCCTACTGGTACGAGACTGCCACTCAAGAATCTTTTTTCCCCATCGGTTGTCGGTTCTTCGAGCTATAGGGCCGGCCCATTACCACTTCAGCTTACTAATCCATTAGGCTATATCGGTCACTCTGATGAATTTCTAGTAAATTTTTTAGTGTTAATAATTTAATAATTTGCATTTAAATGGCACTACAACGAAGTGTATGAAATCACTTGAAATATTTAAATACTAATGAAGCTAAGTCTTGTCAATACTGGAATTTATCTTGAAATCACACTAGACGCGAAGCTACAATGTATCAAAACTAGCAAGCAGACTTAGTTATGCAGCATATGTCGTAATAAAGATTAGAAATGTTACCAGTGTCCCAGCTGGACTAGCACTTTGGCTATTTCCATAGCATGATGACGTATGGTATTTTGCTATGGGGACAAGGGACTAATACTGAAATTATATATATTTGTTTAACAGAAGTGAGCCATAAGTGCAATATGAATGAAAGCCTAAAGAGCCTAAAGGAAATTAATATATTAATTTTGGTCTCTCTATTAATTTATAAAAAGGTAATGTTTGTATACAAAATAAAATTAGTTTTACAAAAATAATTGATATTCATTCTGTAAATATTAGAAATAAACACGTAGTAGTACAACTAGTAGTACCAGTTAGTCGACTCCAACGAGTCAGTAATTAATTCTTGGGGCGATGTATACGGTTTTACAACAAAATCCCAGAAAATATACAAAAATGGACCTGCTCAAAGTTCAAAAACTTTATTAATCTATATTTGTATAAAAAAGGTTATTAGTATTAAGGAATTTATGGATGATAATAATCCCTGAGAATGAGGTGATCGCTACTAAGCTATTTATTTGTTTCGTGTTGATTGTGTAACATACATAATTGTAAGCTGTTTTTTTTTTAAAGTACCGCTGAGTTTCTTGCTGGTTGTTCCCAGGTTGTTTCCCGAACTAGTGGTAATTAAACAAAGAGTGACTTTCAATAAGTATCATTTATAATTTATATTGCATAAACTCCGATCAGCTGTTGCGACTGCTATTCCCAAGCAATCGGCAGTCGACTCCTTCGAAAGACCATCGTGACGGCTTCATTCGTCAGTCGATTCCCCAGAAAGGCAGTGTCGAAGGCTGTTCTCTTACAATCGGTAAACGACTCCTCCAAACGGAAATCAAGACTGCTGTTCACATTCGTTCGGCAGTCGACTCATCGTTCTTTCGACTGTTTTCCAACGCCGTTCAGCCGTCTTTTGCGCCGTTTGACTGACGTCAGAGATGAAATCATGCGAGAAGATCATTTCGATGCCGTCCGGCCGTCTCCGGCGCCGTTCGGCTGCCGACCGAAATTTATACACGTCGAAGTGGGCGTTCGGCTAATCGTTCGTTTTGCCGTAGGCCGACGTCGCGACGTCGTTCTAACCGAACCGATGAGAATTGCATTAGCAACACTCGTATTTCATAGACATGAGTTTTTCTGACCGACTGAAGCCAATAGTCTGCGTCGATAAATGTGGGGAGTCCCTTAGGTTCCGTGTCATTTGACGGCGAATTTATAGATCACGTGACCTCCCAGATATTGATTTGAAAATCAATGTGTCCAAAAACAAATAATTTCAATATGACGATTATTTCTTAAAAATTTAACAGCAGTATCGTGTTCGTCGTTAACGATCAGACTTTCAGATATCGATTTAAATATCAGCCAATAAACAAGAGTTTTTAAAATGGCGGCCACTTTTTGATTCCAATCCGCTAGCCTATGGCGAAGTAATGAAATGAAAGTTTGTTGTTTCCAACATATTCTTAAATTGGTACAAGTTAGAGAACCTCTTTTAAGCATAAAGATTATTTTAAATAAAAATAGTTTTTACGGATTTTATCGCATATAATAACTTTTATATTTCCAACGTCTCGAGCACTTTACAGCACCCAAGGTCACGGAGGGGTTGAGACCATGAGTGCTGTGGCTTTTGAGTTTTATTTAAATGTGTGTTTGTGTGTCATGTTCGCTATGACGTAACAATATGGCGCCAGGTCAGTCCTATTACACAGATATGTAGGTAATAGTTATATCTGCCTACCTCTCTCAGTGATAGAAATGAGAGTTCATATATGAATTTTTTGGAAATCTAGAAAGAATAAATGAGCAAAATAAGCAAATTAAGCCTGCTGTAGTGGCAAGGTTGGCCAGGGACGGACTAGACGGAAGTTTGTCAACCAAATTATATATTGAAAATGGGCCACCCACAGATAAGTCTTTGCGTACTTCTCTGGGTGACAGCAGTGAAAGCTTTTATTCGGAAATTTTCTTTGGATGCCGTCAAATATAATAAAAATAACAAATTATATAAATAAAAACATTATTTTGTATGTGTGGTAACGTCCACTCACCGGGTCAGGGTTCAGCTCGCCGATGATCAAAGCCGCTGGCTCGGCGTTGTTGGCGCGCTGGGTTCGCTCTCTAGGTGGCGTTTCTCTTTGATCCGAAGAAACGTCATTAGATCGTGCGTTCAGGTCGGCGGGCGCATTCCTATGCACCGGGAAGTCGTCACGTGGCTCAGGGCTACGCTCGGGACTTCGCTCGGGACTGTGTTGCTCTGAAGCCGAGCGCTCCTTCCGCGGAGAGCCGCGTTTCGCCCTCAACGGCGGCTTCGGTCGCTTCGGCTGTTCGTTGTCGAACGATATGTAGAAGCCCTTTTCGTTTTTTTCGCTCGGTTCCTCTTGCTCGAGGTGCTGGAACGAGTTTCTATTCAGAGAAGGTCTAGTCGGCGACGGTATGCGGTAGGTGCGCGTGCCTGATGATATGTTCAGTCTGCTTATCCCCTGGCGTAAGGCGTCGTCTTCGGCGTTGCCGATGAACGATATGTTCTGCGGCTCCATGTCGTCCGGCGGGGGAACGGGCACGGGCGACTGCAACTGCTGCAAGCTGACGGGTTCCGGCTTCCTCGATACTTCCGGCAGCGATCCCTGTCGTTGCGGGGTTTTCGAGCGCCGCTGCGGACTGGCCGCAGGTGGGGGCGATTGGGATACGTATTGGCTAGGATTTATCACAGTATAGCTTAAATGGTTTTGTGTTTCTCGAATGTTCTCGGTACCATTTTGATACCGGTCGTTGTTGTAATGCACTTGGAAGGGTTGATTCGTTCTATCGTGCAGAATGAAACCCTGTGGGTTCCAATTCCGCTCCGGTGGCGGTTGGGGTGAAGGTGATTTCCATGTTCTCTGTGGCAGTTCGTGGGGTGGCTGATATGGTTGATGATTCTGTTGTTGGAGCTGAAAACGTACAATTGTATATTGTTAAAAAGTATACAATACTAGGTGAACTGATGAGTTTAACTTTTTGTATCTTGTTTAAATATACAACCGAATGAAATATACCAACACCACATGTGCATTCATGTAAGCTTTACGTGACAATTTGCATATTGCCTATACTACCTAATAACTATTTAAATTTAATAATAAAATAAGCAGAAACCATTGTTTATTTGGTACAAACTACTATAGGGATATCAAAACAATAACAGTATTTTAGCAACACAAGTAATTTATAGACCTGCCCAAACTGTAATGACATTGAAGACAATTTAGGAAGTTTAATACAAGCCATCTTATAATGATATCCATTTACTTCTTCAAGAGTAGAAAAAACACAGCAAAGGAGTGGAAATAATTTGCCAACATCTGTCTTTCCATCCGATTACAATATGGGTGTCTTCAAAGATAAGAGTGAAAATATTTTTGTTAAACTAAGTCATTGCACTTTACCATCCTCGGTTGAATCATCACTAACTATGCGATGGGATAGTAGTCATGTACTGGCTTATAATTGTTAAAATATATTTTAAGAAATATTTTTATTACATTAATTAGATGAACAAACTTGTTTGCAGTATTTACAACCATGGAAATCTACATTTATACACTGTCACTTCCAAACCTAAAGCCAATCCTATTAATACTACTTACTCCTACAGGATAGGACTCTTACTTAATTCTTGTTGGAACTCAAGTCCAAATATGTACCAGTAGTAAGGCAGAGGTGTCCTACCACGTAGAATGAGCTGTTGGTTAGTAAACAGTGCTAATCAGTTAAGCTCATAATGGGGCGTGTTAGCGTTGCAGCTGTTAGTGTTTTTAAGAGTAATTAAGAGTGAACGTTGGACATAAGAGTCCTTAAAATTATGTCAATATATAGTCAACAACTTATTATAGTACATTGAATTTAGGCTCCTAATCAGGATTCATGGAAGGAAAAGAAAAATGTAATTAAAGTTAGGACAGTATTGATCCTATGTTGCAGTCAGAAAGGTGTCCCCCTACCTGATTTGCCTAGTTTTCTAATACAATAAGGAGTAATGTAAGTGTAATTCAATTTAGGAGGTTTAGAGAACAAAAAGGATGTATACATTTAAGTACCTAAGCAAAATGGTTTGAAAAGAAAGAGAGATTTTAATAAATCCAATGGAGGTGCCATAAAAATGCTTAATTTGAGATAAAAACCTCATCCTAATTACTTAATTACGTAACGATTTAAAAATCGAAAGATTCCAAGCTTTTTGAAATATAATTGAACACATAGAAAAAAATAACACCATGAATATAATCAAAAACATATCGATATGACTAAAATTATATAAAATTACCGTAAGCAACATATTTATTAATTAAATTAAAAAAAATTGTTAATATTTGAGCTTTTTCAACAGACGATATATATTTAATATCATTAATAATATATTTCCTTTAATTATAATAATTTTTGTTATTATAGGCTTTTGATTTATTAATTATTGTTTTTAAAATTAGTTCATAAGGTAGATCGTAATATATTTTTAATGTTTTTACCTTGTTGCCTTGTTATAAATCGTTTTGAAATGTTAATTTTTGGGGGATTGTGTCGTTCATCCTCAATTTAATACAGTACAATCATAAGATTCAAATTCGTTCGTTTTTCTAAATTCTAATTAGGGCATGATAGCGGAGTGTAGTGTGACATTGTGTTAGTGGGCGCGGAGTGTAGTGCGGCATGGGGCATGCGCACCTGCCAGGCGCGCAGCTCGGCGTGCTCGTGGTGCAGCTGCGCGTGCTGCGCCCAGGTGCGGCGCGGCGCCGGCGCGGGGCTCTCGAGCTGCTCCAGCTGCGCGCGCTCGGCCCGCTCAGCCCGCTCAGCCCGCTCGTGCAGGTAGAACTGGCGCGCCGCGGACTCGTCGACGTCGCGGTACTGGTACTGCGGCGTCGGTGCCGGCGATTGCTGCTGCTCGTACGCGAAGTACTCGCGCGGGATGTGCGGCGTCGACCCAAAGCCCGGCGCGAGCCCCGCCCGCGACACGTTGTGCTGCGAGCTGAACTGGCTGTGCTGCAACGTGCGTGTGCGTGACTCTCACCTTATTGTGCATTACACAAGCCGGACACAGGACAGGCCAGTGCTTATTGCGAAGCGCGCCTCAGTACTTTTGACAAGCTTATATATCAACATGTCTGACTTAATAAAATCAGAACGAAGCGTTATAATTATTCCTATCGGAATAAAAGAAAGGCTTTGCAGAGTTAACACTGAAATTAATAGGCTTCTATAAAATCCCCGCCATAAAGTGCGAATCTGAACTAAATTGATTATTTCCCTCTCTAAATAATGTACATGTAGACTCCAAAAATTTAAAGATAATAATCAAACAAAGACTAACGCAGAGAAGGACTTTGGAAGACAAATTTACTTTAAGGTAGATAAAGACCATTTACAGATTTTGATTTTTGATTTTGATTCAGACATTACAGAGTACACAAAAGTTAAAAATAACGGTCACTATTTACATGCCATATTACAACTCCTTTTACAACTATACATAAATACAATGTCAAATATCTTTTTTTCAATTTCATTTTTAAAGATATATCAGTAGCCCATACAACTTCCCCCCCCCCCCATAAATAATTACTCCCAAAATAATAATCTATTTTATAATGGGTTTTTTTAACAAAATTTCTATAACAACATTTATAAATTTTATCTCCGTGTTGTAAAAGCGTTTAAACATTTAACCAGAAAATAATTGCTAATATTTAGGAATCTATAACCGACACTGACCAAATTACAGAAGACAGTCTTTTTTTTGATTAAATAAATTTATATTTTTTCGTACATACATGAAGTTCCCAAAAATATGCGTCTCTTTAAAAGGTCACAAAGATAGCAACGCGCGAAGCGTGATACTGTGGAAGTTAACAACGTGTTAGCTTAGCTATTGCTTCATCAGTCGGTTTTCAAATCGTAATAGCGAACATTGAAATATTTAATTTGGAAACTAATTTATTGATATGTCCCTACCGGAGCTTCGAATCGATATTTAGCCTATTTTAGAATTACTTAGTGACCTTTTATGTATTAATTATGATGAAATAAATTACAAGAGAGGAAAAATCAGTGATCTATTTTCCCTAACGAAAGCGTGGTGCAATCTTATACACACATTAAAACTCTTTGGTGTTGTGTTAGTGCATCTGAGGTGTTTAAAAATTGAAGCGAGCAAGTTTGCATATATATCACATATGATATATTGTTTTTTTTTTAAAGAATATTAATAATGTGCTATAAACATTACTAATATTCCCCTTAACCACTCGTGGTAAGCTTAAATTGCTTGTATTACGAGTGGTTCACGCCAGTAGTCGAATGGTGGATTCGAACCCACGACCTTTTTGAATTCGCATTCCGCGCCCTGCCATTAGGCTACTGTCGCTTAAACAACAGGGATATATATATATATATATATATATATATATATATATATATATATATATATATATATATATATATATACAGGGTGATTAGTGTAAACACCGTTGTCAGATTTAAAAACGACTATTTTCTTTCATGAAATTGAAAAAGTTTCAGTGTTTACACCAACACCGATCCATTATATTAAAAAATTCATGGATACCCTATGCGCCCGAGTGACGTAATCACTGTAAAGATCACCGCCCGCGCTAGCTACCTACACAACATTCCAATAAAAACACAATATGCACATATCACCAGTGACGTAACTTTTCCTTCATACTTTCATCGTGGCTTAGGACAGGAAAAAATGAGGAATTAAGGAAAAATTGAGATTATACTAAAAAAAATGTTATTTTTCATTGAATTTACGTGTTCTATAAGTTAAACTAAACCCCTGGTTTCAATATATAACGGTATATATATATTCACGTTCTTCAAATAGCAATGTTTATGTACATTACACATATATCATAGATATATATGATAATATTAATATGTTAGGATATAGACACAGGATTTACCTTTAATTATCTAACCAAAGCTACTTTGAACTAATCAGTGTACATTAGAAATCTGACATCAAAACGAGTTGCAGTTTTATTTATAAAATTTACTTACCAATTGTGGAATGTTTTGTTGAAACTGCTGTTGGTAGGGTGCTTGAGCAGGCGCCTGCGTCTGCTGGAATAGCTGCTGTGCTTGTTGCTGTTGCAGCTGCAGCTGTTGTTGTAACTGCTGGTGTTGCTGTTGCAACTGTTGCTGCTGCTGTTGCTGTAGCTGTTGCTGCTGTTGCAACTGCTGTTGTTGCTGTTGCTGATGTTGTTGCTGTTGCTGCTGCTGCAACTGGCTCTGTTGGCTGGCGAGACGCGCGATGTCGCTCTGTATATCCTGCAGGCTAGAGTTCATTCTGCAATCGTTAGAAACTCGCTGTGGCCACTGTTATTACATACAATATTAAAACTAGCGAGCACACAGTCCACCTGATGGTTGCTGTGGCCCATAGACATCTACATCTATCCTCGTTTGCAAATCAAAATGCACATGCGTTTTCAACCGTGAGGATTAAGGTGGAACGCCTCTTTTCGATAAAGTAGGTCTCCGGTTCTCCACATTTACCATACGAAACAGCAGCATCAAGCTGCTATTTTACGCTGATATTCTGTGAGAGCGCGGTCCTTCCTCGGTCGAGTTGACCCATTCGTGCTACAACTATACAATTAATATAGCTGTGGCATGGCTCTACCATGTTCAAATATTAATTAATTATTGTTTGTTCAATAAGTGATTTAAATAAAATAACAGTTACTTTTACTTAACCGATTTAGACAATCTTATTGAAATAATTTAACATGCGAAGTTAAAATATGTATCATTATCCTTTCACTGTCAGCTTATTTCATTAAATTATTTTGCAACAGCAATCGCATTTTTATGATTGTGAGCTGTTATCAGGAAGATGCCAGTAACCATCTGGTGTTTCAGTCCCCGTCTGTCGCCTGCTACTACGACCTACACTACCCGTTAATGTTTCATGCAGTTGATTTTTATTTTTATTGTAAAATATAATAAAATGTTTTCAGACTAACCATAAGAAAAATATGAGCTCGACTTGAGCAGCGTTTTATTATTTTTTCCAGCATTATAAAATGCTGATCAAGTCAGTTTATAAGAATGTCGTCATCAGTCGGCAACATACTTTTATTCCAGCATATAATAACTTCCCTTATGTAAATACAATATTCAGCTGGTGTATTGAAGAGTTTGATAATAGTACATTACGATACAAGGGACTTGAGTAGCAGATTATTGAACCATGTGAAGTTAGCACACGAGCGAAGCGAGTGCACTAACATCACATAGTTCAATAATCGGCAAATGATTTAGTGTTTTGTTTTTGTAATTTAAAGAATTCTAATTAAAGTTCTATTGTATTATTTAGTATCGTAAGTATTTAGTATTGTTCCAATAAATGTTTAAATTTTTTATATATATTGAAGTATAAAATTTTTAAAAAAATTTCATCATTGAAAACTTTATACTTTAAACTTAACTTTAAGCTTAATAATTCTTGAAAATTAACTGTTTGATTGCAACTTATTAATTTTCAAAATAAATTAGATAAAAACATGTAGACATACTTATTCAATTTCCAAAAAACTTGAAATTCTAATATCGTTAAATCTTATGAATAGTTTATCTGGAAAATAATTGCTTCTATATTTTTTAAATGTATGTAAAATTCCAATTAATTTATATACCATAAAATTATTTACTATACTAAAACAAGAACATAAAAACTACTCTTACTTGGCAATAGATTGTTGATACTGTTCCAAGGCCACATTCTCCGCAGTTTGACCGGGCGGTTCAACCACCATCTCCTACAAAGAAAGATATTGATGAACAGAATGTTTCAATTTCCATTTTATTACCATTTTGCAGCCATTACTTGCCAAAAGCTTTTTTTACAAGGTTATCTTTTAATTAAAAGAAATCAGTAAATGGGCCATTAACTACTTATTACATTAGATATGTAGTTAACGCATGTTTAAGTATAGATTTATTGCAAATACGATAGCCGAAAAAAATGTTTTAATAATAAATATTTTTTCTATATGTAAAATCTGTTCAAGCAAATTAGTTATTTTTGAACTAGATACGAAATATACCGAGGAATAGACGACAAACATATAGAAGCTTACATAGATATACACCACATAAAATAGCTGGTATATTTGTAAACATATTAAATAAACTGAAACACAAATATTACAATAAACACACAATAAACAAATACAGTGGATTTCATTTATTACGACCTTGGTTGTAGCGACCATTTACCTATAGCGACGTTAAATCTAAGTCCCTTGAATTTAAAGCATACTTTAGTACAAAATTCATGCGGCTATAGCGACTTTGGATGTAACGCCGAGTTCGGGTATAGCGACTGTTTTTAATGAATCATTTGTAACAAATTCTTAGAAATCCCATGCAATTATTGCGACCGAAGCGGCCACCAAAGACACAAAGATTTCTTTTTTTCACAAACATTTCTTATCTTTTGTTTACATCTACACAGATGGTCAGCTAGTGTTGAGACCTTTACCTTTTGTTTATAGATATCAGTTAAGTAGGTAGTAGAGCGTGTAAGTTTCGGAGTTAAAATGATTCAATTATAAAGTGATATTCTGTGTAGCATTTTGAAATGTACCAGTGAATAATTATGTGTGCAAATATTTTCAATAATAAATGAATATAAACTATACATATGTACGTGTCTGTATCATTTTACCTTTGCTTGTAACGACTTCCGGATATAACGACGAAAATAAGTGGTCCCTTCATCGTCGTAATACCCGAAATCCACTGTATAAAAATTGCACAACTTTTTTGTGTTCATGCATTTTTAATAACAAAATCATGCACATACAAAAATAGCCTCAATTTAGTTTGAAGTTACATAACATAATGATATTAAAAAAATCTGGGACATCACAAAAAATGTGGTATTTTAATGCTAATGATAATAAATTCTTTCACAAAGAGTTATGAGATCGAGATCATTGGTGTTACTTTATTACACCAAGAAAATGTATTTGGCTCTACATACATATGTATATGTATTACTATTCATATTAAGAATTATGGTAGTTCTTTGTATCTAACATGAAGCGTTCAAAGGAAATATTGAAAGTTCCTTAACAGGTAGTGAATTTAATTCCAGGACAATGAAGGCTAACGATCTTACGCTCACCAGATGTCGCCAGTTGGGTCTAAGGTGAACTTATTTGTTACGCAGTTAAGGCCACACAGTGTCATCGTCATTGAAATGTTACGAGTTAGTTTTATGTTCGTTTGTTTTTAATGTATGTATATACTGGATGACCTTTGTTTAATGTCTGGAAAAAATAGGGTGTAACATTTGAAAGGAGTGGAAGCCTATTACACTGAATTTTACAAAAAGTAAAAGCAAACATGTTGAATTAAATAAATAAATCAATTAAAATCTATCGAAATTCAAATCATCCACCCTAGCCTGTGATCCTGCGAAGTTACAAGGCCAAAGATGATTCCGGCCGCCATTAATTATTAATTATTACTCTCTCACTACTGTTCTACTGACACTGTGTGCTAATTGGTATTTTCTGCAATAATTAAAATCTCATGTGCCACCGTAGTTCTCAATAACGGTGTTCAATGCAAGACGCGTTTCACTGTCAAGATTATGAATTATCAACATTCACCAGCGCAACACTCCTACAAAATGGTATTACATACATCAATAAAATAATTTACTTTGTGTTATCTAATCAAGCTTATGGCCTATCGAAGTCTGGAAAAAATCATCTTACCTAATTTAAAACTATATTGACTAATTGTTGTGGCAAATTGTTGATGGAATTATCAAGCATCTACTTATGTCACCATTACAGATATCATTAGAATAGTTAACTATGTATTATCTAATCAAGCTTATGGCCTATCGAAGTCTGAAAAAAAACATCATACCTAATTTAAAACTATATTGACTAATTGTTGTGACAAATTGTTGATGGAATTATTAAGCGTCTACTTATGTCACCATTACAGATATCAATAGAATGGTTAACTATGTATTATCTAATCAAGCTTATGGCCTATCATAGTCTGAAAAAAATCATCTTACCTAATTTAAAACTATATTGACTAATTGTTGTGACAAATTGTTGATGGAATTATTAAGCGTCTACTTATGTCACCATTACAGATATCAATAGAATGTTTAACTATGTATTATCTAATCAAGCTTATGGCCTATCGAAGTCTGAAAAAAATCATCTTACCTAATTTAAAACTATATTGACTAATTGTTGTGACAAATTGTTGATGGAATTATTAAGCGTCTACTTATGTCACCATTACAGATATCAATAGAATGGTTAACTATGTATTATCTAATCAAGCTTATGGTCTATCGTAGTCTGGAAAAAATCATCATACACAATTCAAAACTTAATTCTCTAGTTGTTGTAGTTGTTACCATTCGCCAGTTAATACAGGCAAAGGTCTTATACCATACAGCCGAGTTTGACATGTATTTTATTCAGAAAACTCCTGTATATATACTAATGTGTTCTTTAAGGATTTCCTCTATCCTAGTAATTACCTTATATATACATATATGAAAACTATATTAACTACATAGTTGTTGTTGTAAAGATTTGCCAGTTATGGCGTTATACACCATATAGCCAAGTCTGATGTGTATTTTATATAAACTGAAATCTTTAATTCCTGACTTCCAGCAGTAGTATGACTGAAGAAAACAATATTCAAGATTTTAAACTCTATATATTTAAAGAAAGAGAAGAAAGTCACATAGAATTTGTTTGAGAGTTCGCCATTAACCTTTATTGTTTTGTTGCCGTTCGTATAGTAGGATGGATATTATTTGAATTTTGATTAATTTAATTAATTTATTTATATAGTTCAAAAATTTTTATTTTTTGTAAAATATCAGTGCCATAGACTTCTCCGTTCACATTTTACAATCTATTTTTTTTTCAGATGGTATAAAAGGTCACCAGTATACACAAAACAATGCCTCAGTGTTGTATTTTTATTTATTTTTATCCACAGTCTTAAGTTTTTGTTTTTACTTCTTCTACTTTTAGAGATATCAGTAGATATGTTTATCTGTACATTTTTATAACAAATTAACTTCACTCGCTATGAAATCTGTCAAATATTTCACCTCATTCCTAATTGGCGTCGCCATGGTGGCAGAAAAGTCGTGGGGAAAAAGTAATTGAATGAGACGTTGCAAATGAAAGCAAGGTGCACTACATCAGGTTACCTGTGCGTGCGGCTGGTCGTCCTTGGCGTCGTCGTCAGCGGGCGTGCGCGCTCCCTTGCCCTGCAACACGCACGCGCACCTCCACCGTAACTAACGCAACGCACCGCACACGCACCACACGCCACGCACACAACTATGTACGCACTGTCGTAAAACGCTGAGCGGAAGGAACCTTCTCAAAGTTAGCTTTAATCGCGCCTTTACGGTTAGCTCCAGGAAAAAAACATACATATGTTATTGACCCAATGATTAATCGGCACACTATTTATAGTGCCCGGACAACAAGTATGATGGGCAAATCAAATCGGGTTACTTAATTAATATAGATTTAAACTATTCACTGCATTTTTTATTACACATAGCCTTACCTAACAAATATTTATTACCCAGCTAAATAAGGACTAAATTCATGAAACCTAGCCAATTTAATTATTTCAATAATTTTTATCATATTGTCTACTCTTATTGGGCATATTTGAAACTGTTGCGATATTATGAATAATGTCCTATTAATTACATGGTCCATAACATATCTAATACTTTATATCCAACAATGGGTTATATATTTAATAGTGATGAAACTAATTAATCCACAGCCTAATGGCACGACCTGAAAGAAAGGTCCTTCGGTTCAGTATTATGATCAGGTATCACAAACGCACAAAATCATGAACGTATTTACGTCCGTACATAACAACACACGCAACGAACACACGGGCGTGGTACGTCCGCACATACGTTCATATGTACCGGCGTGTCGTGTACTACGTATGTGGCGCACACAATCCATGCTTTAGTGTGTGTTAAGAACGTGTGTGTGGGAAATTGAGCGATTATCAAGAATAATACTAAGCGTAGCGTATAGTAGTTTGAAATATATTGCGCTCATTTAAATATTATTTTATAATTGATTGGGTTATCACCATAGAATACTGTAATACACAATAGAATGGCTATCAACTTTATTTTGTACGAGGCTTGGCGTCGCCAAACCCGATTCGCTGTGTTGACATACTGAATAAATTTACACATTTTAGACTTTTGATTAACGTTCAAGATCAAAATAGAATAAATTTTAATACTTATTTATTTGTAAATAGAGTGCAATTTGGCATTTTCTAAATAATTTGCATGCGAAATTCGGAAACATACGTATAAATGTCTATCTTGAGTTGACATTTTTACGTATGAATTGACGCGTTAGTGACATTTTAGTGGTTACGCGGGCTCCGCCCACTCCCCCGTTCTATTATGTATGTATTATAGTTTTCTATGGGTTATCACTATGATTTTGTAATTCACTTTATTAAACTTAACATTACCTAAATATATAATATCAATAACTTAAGTTCGTGTTAAACTATATATTTATTATGAAAGGAAGTCTATGAAATTGTATTTATGCCTACATTTACTACGTTTTTATTAGATTATATATTCAATTCTAATAATGTTCCGCATAATCAGTATATAACAAAAATATCTCATCGGTTTAGCAATCGCATATGTCAGTGATAATCGCTCAAGTGACCTGTATCGCGTGTGAGATCTACATGGCGCAAGGGAGAGACATTTACGATTTCAATTCTAATGTTTACGTGAATGCAAAACATGTGTCTTTAAAAAATTGAACGTTTGTATGTTGCTGCTATATATTTCTATAATTTATCAGGGTTTTCTTTGCAAACGTAACTTGTATAGTGGTATTAACACAGTTCTTTTTTATTATTTTGAGAACATTCAAATCAACGAACGATATATAATAATAAAATTCGTACAAAAAGGCGGAATTTAAAAGAAAATCAAATAACATTTCGTTAAAATAAATCGTGCGCAAAAAAATGTATTGGTAAAAGGTAAAAACGAAAATAACAAAAAAACAGAAGTAAAATTTATAAAACTGCATATAAAAATCGCATTAACAGAATGAGCACACTTAGCCGTGATTTTAGTGTTTGTAGAATACTCGTGAAATATTTTTAAGAGATGTATCAAAATGGGAAAGCTATATCAATTTACACTGCAAGATCGGCTGATTGCTAATCTATTGCCTACAAAATTGAAAAGCGCGATATTCGTACGTTACCTGATATTCTATTTATAAATGAATGAATGTGAAATTGCTGCATAGAAAAATAAATTAGAATAAGTATTGCTGATTGTTTTTATAATTATAATATATCTATTTTTAATGCTGCAATGTAAATATTTAAATTTAATCAAATAAAGCCGTGTAAGCGAATTCTTAACTAAGTCGAATTTAAAAATTGCATTAAAAAGATGAATACCGAAAAAGGCTACACTAAAGTAAAAAGGATCTATATACTTTAAACCGGCCACTCACCAAAGAGGCCAACTGGTATTGCAAAAACGTATCCTATTGAATAGAAAAAATTTATTTAACTTTCTTCGCCAACGAATACGTCGTCAGTAGAATACGACAAAGTTAGTTACATTGTGTTTATAACCTACCTTTACAAAACCCTAATAATTAACATGAATTCATTAATGGAAAAACTATTTATAATAAAATATCGTTCTGTAAAAGTAGGTTATAATATAGATATGTGTCATTATGTTAGACAAAGTGAAAAGAAAATTAATAATAAATAAACAGTAGCAGTTTTGTTTGTTTCGGTGTATTACATGAGCTGTTACAAATACCAAACTCGTCTCACTAATTTAATTGTACTTTATGCTTTATTCAAATTCTTTACAACTAAAAAAAACAGTCCCCACACCAATATATCACGTACACGTACGCACACAAACATTCACATACATGAAGAGTTTATATTTAGGTGCAATATTAAATTGTATACAACAATCAATTCTATATTATATAATTAGAAACTAAGTGAATCGAACTTTATTGTGGTGTACAGTGACATCCTATAGACGTCCCACGGCTGGACACAAGCCTCGTTACCTCTTAACCATACAGTGGACTTTACATGCAGGTTTCTTAACGATGCTTTTCTTTCATCACTAAGTAGTTGGCGGGGATCGAATTCGGATTTACTGCTTACTCAATATTTTACGCCATCAATACATATAATAATTCATACATCAAAAAGTATCTTAAAATACATTTTGTTGTATCAAATACATTTTTAAATAAAGTGCGTTGGGGTAAGATCGGTGACGGGGCAAGACTGTAATATTCAAATTCCCGGCGAATTATGCTGTATTTTTAAATGCTGGCAATCAGTGGCGAAGCTTCCATTAAAGCCAAAAAGCCAGGGTTGCCTTATTAAACCTGAATCAATCAATAATATCAACTAATAAAATAACTCGTAAAATGTTTCAAGCTATTTCAAATTTCCCGCGCACTCCACTGTTCGACACATGACGACCGATGACCTCGTATTGCCTTAGCGATACTGCTGCTGTCATAAAAAATGAGTTTTAATAGAGCTAATAGTTGTCTCCCTCGCTCGCGTGGGCTTTTTACGGGGCTTTCGAGAAGACGATCGCTCTCTTTCTAACCTATGGCAAAATATTCTATAATGAAATACAACTACGATTGTATATATAGCAATTAGTATAGAGATTTAAAGCCAGGCTTTTGGGAATAAATTTGTTAAAAGCGGAGGCACGCGGGAAATACGTTTGCAAGTTCATTTCACGTTTCAATGTTTATTTACTCTGTGTGCTTATCTTAAGCGATTTAATATTACGAGTTCAAAATTTACGCTTTTATAAAGATTTTTAATGAAAATGGAGGATAATAGTGTTCCTTGTGATGAATTAAAGTGTGTTAAAGTGATAGTCGGAGAGGAAATCTTTAAACTTTGTTGAGATAATACACAAGGTTAAGAGTGTATTTCAGACTTATCAATTATCGCAATTAAAAACAGTTATTGGTACAATTAAAACGTTCACCAACATTTTACGTGGACGTAATTAAATCTTTCCATAAGAAAGCGAGACGATTCCACTTATCTTATCTTATCTCTTAACCATTAGAATGTAAATAATTTTTTTTTTAATTTTGTACATAGTTTGTTTGTACTTTGTTCGTGTTTTACTTTTGTTCATGTATTGTATTGGATGTAAATATTTTTTTTTCGCTTAAACAAACCCTGAATATGAAACTGAAGCGTGGAGACAGATTAAGATTGGTGTATTTTTATAAAACTGCTAAAAACAACAATCTATATTTTTATCAATTTATATCTTGGGCTTGCCCTAGCTTGGAGCTCTAGCTTCGCCACTGCTGGCAATATGGTACACGACGCCATTTCATTTTGCCCCGACCCGAATATCCCGCCAGTCGCCCCGGGAAGTACTTAAGGCGTGTGCTTGCGGCATTTTATAAAACAAGGAAATTTTTGTATTTCTTTTGTCCACCCAGTCTTTTTCTATCACTTTTATTTGCAAATTTTAGCAAGAATATTGCTTCTTTTGTTATAATTTTCTGTTATAGTCCGAATACTAAGTTTTATGAAGTTATAGTCAAATAAACTGATCCAAACAGGGCTAAGAACGCTGTAGGCCGAGACCCGATGTTTCTGAATGAATTTTATCCGATCTTTACTCGTTACAAATATAGCAGTGGTTGTCAAATTTTCATTTCTTACGAAGGTTGCTCAAGCCATTATGGAGCTCAGTATCACTATCAAATCTATTGTGCCTCAATGTACCTAATTGAGCTTAATTTTTAGAATAGTTTTATTACTTTTAAATACACATTAAAACATTTATAATTGCTCGCATTTCGCAGCATGAACTCCAAAATTAGAATTTTCGAAACCGTTAACATACTGTTAACATACGATTTACTGAAATATTTCGCTTTATTAAGGGTTACCACCATAGCTATTCATTAACTCAATGGCTTTCAACAACTGATAATAACAAAACTTAATATTTAGAACTAATCTTTGGAACGTCAAAATCGCCAGCTGCTTCGCTATATGCCGCTTTGTTAAAATACTTACATTTTCCACTACTCCTGTATTGCCCCAGGGCGTTTCACCAGTCTTTACTGTTACATTTTATTCAAAAATCTACATTATATAAAATAAAATTTTCTTTCTCAGTAAAAATATCAAATTCATCCGATCTTTCCTTTATTGAGTAATTTCATCTTATGTCATAACAAAGTTTGAGAACCGCAAAACTACAATTTCTTTATATCAGGGATAAGATCGGATGCCACGAAATCAAAACACAGAGAATCGTTTGGAACATTTATGTCTTAGTAATTTACAGATCATATTTAAATATGTTTTGAGCGGTAAAGATAACAAATCCCTTTAATGAACTTTGTTGTCTAAGCAGTAGAAGTAGTTATAAATTTACGTCCGGTCTTACCCCTTGTTGGCCAATTCTCCAACATGCTTATAAATAATGATGCCTGCTGCACACGTTTTTAAGTTGAAATCGTTGAGTTTACAAAATTAGAAGCTTCTAATAGCTAAACTACGTTTAACCATTAACAATTTGCACCATGTTCCAGAAATCTGACGTATATGGATGTCGAGAAAATATAGTTTTTGCCAGACTATTTCAACTAGTCGAAAATCCATCCGGTATTAACCCCAACGCACCTTACTGATATAACTTAGTCTTCAATTTTTATTAAAACTTGTCCTTCCTACTCCTTCTCTTTTTTAGCAATAAAACATTCTAACTGCATACCATACAACCCACACCATTTATATTGACCAATGTTTCTTACGGCTAATAGGTCAGTAGATTGTTTAAATATAATATTTTTATGAAAAATGTGCATGGTACGTTGTGTGCATGTTGAATGAGTGAGTGAGTATAAGTGGAGGGTATTTTGAGCGAGTGTGTAGCGTAAGTATGAGTAAAGGATACGTAGTGAAAGTCAGATTGTGAGTGAGTGTGCGAGAGTGTGTGGGAGTGAATGAGCGAGTGGGGCGGCTGACCCGGGTGACGGCCTGCAGGAAGGCCTGCTGGCCGAGCTGCTGGCGCTGGCGGTTGGCGGCGAGCTCTAGGCGGCGCTTGTCGAGCTCGATGCGGCGCCGCTTCTCCTCCAGCTTGAGCCGGATGTTGTTGAGCTGCGCCGCCATGCCGTGGCCGCCCTGCCCGCCCGGCTCCGTCTCCTCCGACATCTCATCGCCATCTCAAAACGTATTCAAATATTTTTGATAAATCTATAGCGTCCCGTTTTATCCGTTTCCAAGGAAAATGTTGATATATTTGATAATCATGTCTATAGTAACTTTGGAAAATTTCGAGGTGTCAATATCAATAAAAAGTACAAGTAATAAGAAACAAATACATGAAGAAATATATTCGAGGAACCCTTTTATTTCCAATAATTCTTGACAATAGAGTTATTTTTGTCGCTATGTAAACAAATCGTCGACAATGCCAATAGCGCCCATAACGCCCACAGAAGTAATTGAAACAGTAAATTAAGTCTTGGTTTTGTTTCATCATCATTATTACAGCCTATTATATAAGTCCGCAGTTGAACAAAGGCTTAAAACTTTCTATATTAAATATCGTGTAAGTGTTAAGACTATTTGCATGCATAAATAACGCCGTGGTAGCTTTGGTAATAAGCGCTTGCTTTAAATTTTGTAATAAGTGACAAAATGATTCTGATTATCGCCGGCACCAATTAAAATGTACTTGGCGACGAAAACATCGCAAAGTAAGTTGCATGTCTAAGAAATAAAAATATTTTTTATCATGTGAGATGAAATCTATCCTGTTCCAAAACTTTCTCAGAAATGTGGCCTGTACATAGTTAAGAGTTGTATATAGGCTGTGACTTTACTAACTTGGCTGATGTTCTTGCTGCATGAACTGCTGCTGCCAGGTGGTGGTGTTGGGTGGCGGCGTCGAGAAGGTCGTCGTTTTTCGCCTATCTGTCTTTTCGCTTTCTGTTTGGTTAAAATGACCTGTCAGGCAATAAAAACTTACGGTCACGTTAAGTTACAAACAATCAATAAAGTCATCATTGTAAATGGCAAGACAGTAAGAGTCACTATACAGTGTGTATTTATATGAGAACATCCAAAACTTTAATGGGAATATGTGGTCTGTTGATTTAAATTGTAAGCATAACATGTTAACTTTAACATCAACCAAGCACATCATAACATTCTTCATATAAACACTTTAAACAAAGTACATAAACATACAAATTAAATAAAACTGTAAATAATATTAAGATAAACAACATATTATTTAAAACTTAAAATGTGATAATATCTTGGAAAATAAAAACAACGCAACACAGTGTAATAAACTAAGTATATTAACATTCACTGATTTTATATTACAGCAGTGCAGATATAACCCACAGTAAGATATTGGGCAGTTCATTATTTTACACTACCACTGCAAGGCAATTCATCATGATCAGCAGCATCTTCCTCGAAACTGTAAAAAGCTGTGATGGCTAATTCGCCTGCCAAGAGTGGCAACTATGGCATATTCATCAGGCAATCTACAGAGAATGTTCAAAAGTGGACTTTAAATATACTATAATGAATAAATTAAAAAATGGATGAATTTATGTTAGAGATACACTGAACGGTTTTCCGATGTTTCATCTTCCTTCATAACAAGCGTAATAAAATTTTCAAACATTGCTTTTAGCTTAGATACACAATCGATATTTGAAATGAAACGAGAATCAATGTACGGAATGAGTACTAGAGTACTCGTCATGTTCTGATTGTCCCAGTGATAAACCAATCTTATTGCATAACCATTAAAGCTATAAATGTAGTAATTCATCACAAATATAACGTGCAAGAAAAATACTTCACTTAAAAATACATTCTACTGCAGATGCAGTAATGCAAGAGGAACTGTGAAAGACTATCTACCACCACGCAGCACATCGCCACAAACCTTGCTGGTCACCATTGCTTCTGATGTTTTTAAGGTCTGCGAAGCTCAGTTTCGTACCATCGCCGTCGGTGGAGTCCTTGTCGTTGAGGAAGAATCCATCCCCTCCTCCCTTATAACTTAACCCGTAACTTTGGTTAAGTGTGATCGTATCGCTGCTCAGCTGTCGTTTTATCGGGTAGTAATGTTGCTCCGTGCTTTGCGGCTGCGAGTTTTGTCGCTCCATTTTGGAACGCTCTTCTTGACCGCCGTTCTGATAGTCCTCGTGCAAGAACTGAATGGAACCGCGGATGTCTTGTCTTGACGAGCGTAAAGGTGGATTATAATCCACAGGACCTGTAATTACCATTAGGATTTGTCAAAATATTTATGACATTACGGTATATTTACAATGAGTTGGGTAACACAAGATAAAATCTCATTATAGGTTTTTAACAATTTGCAATATACCAAATTTAAAAGTATTAAAGTTAAGTTACCGTGTAGTGACGGTTAAGAATATCCACTACACCATATCTTCCCGTGGGTGTCGTAAAAGGCGACAGAGGGAGACAGGCAGGAGATGGGCAGCAGCATCTTAGTGATAACAGTAATTATACAATAAAAAACTGCGGTTGCCAACCCGCTAGCCAAGGGTGACAACTATGGCAATATATCCCCCATGAACAATTAGACAAATAGACTGCCCACTATTCCTGGCTACGGTGGCGACCATGGTAACGTTGGGGCAGGGGGCGCTAAAAATCTCCGTTGGAGGTTCGGTTGCCACCTACGACGACTCGACCTGGAAACATATAACGCACGCACCCTGAGGACTGACGAAAAGATCCTGGAGCTGGAAGGATATAAGCAAATTGCGCTGGAATATTATAGAATTATCCAAAGTCCGAAGAGAGGGCTAGGACACGGTGATTCTCGAATTCGGCAAGTTGTTTTATCACCGGGAGGGAAACCATCTGTCCCAAGGTGTTGGATTTATCGTCCACATGACTCTCGTTGAGAACATTATAAAGATTACCAGTGTGTAGACGAGGGTTGCATACCTTATACTCAAAATCACCAAACGTATTCGCTGAAGGTTTACGCACCAACGTCGGCACATTCCGATGAGGAGGTGGAAGAAATGTATGAGGATATTTCTAGAGCCATGCAATCCTCCTAAACCCACTATACGGTGTTAATGGGACACTTCAACGCAAAGCTAGGCACAAGAAAGAACGGTGAGCTGAAGGTAGGGAAATTTGGGATAGGGCTACGGAACTCAAGGGCACTCTTTATGATTAACTCTTTCTTCCAGAAGCGGCCCCACAGAAAGTGGACCTGGTCAAGCCACGACGGTTCCACAAAAAATGAGATTAACTTCATTATGACGACTAAATGGCAACTGTTCAGTGATGTCTCAGAGATCGCATGCGTTGAATGGTGAAAGGTAAACTGAACCTAAATGTTAAGTTGGAGAGGTCTCGTCTAATGAAGTCATCGCTCCGTCCCTCTCATGCTCTGATCCAAAGTCCCGAAACCTTTCAGCTCGAGTTATAAAACCGTTTTCAGTGCCTAGAAGATTGCAATGCAGTGGACGATATGAACGACAAGCTTGTGAAAACTGTCCATGTGGTCGGAGCTAAGTTCTGCAAGACCCGCCGCAGACAGAAACAAAAACAAAAAACAAATACAAAAACTCTCCGATCACACTCTTAATCTCATGGCTATTATTCGGGAAATAAAGCTGCAGTCAGCAGATTCGACAGCATACAGGCAACTGAACAGACAGATCTCCAAACACTTGCGGCGGGACTAAGGCAACTTTAATACAGCTCATATTGAAGAAGCGATCGAGCGGAACAGGGCTCCAAAGTCTTTGCCAGAGATCTGTCTGCTAGAAAGAGCCAACTGTCAACGCTGAAGACTGAGTGTGGTGGCATCGTTTCCAGGACATCTGAGATTTTGAATGAGATTGAGACATTCTATGGGCAGCTGTACACATCATCGTTGGAGCCACACGTAAGTGTGAGTTAACGATCCAAGAGCAAGTCATATCCGACACTATTCCGATGATATCCCGGACGTCAGTCTGAGCGAGATTAGAATAGCTCTCCAGCACCTTAAAAACGGCAGGGCCCCAGGCGAGGATGGAATTACAGCGGAGCTTCTGAAAGCGGGTGGAATACCGATACTTAAATGTCCTTAAGAAGCTATTCAATTCTGTCCTCCATGGTGGCACTATTCCGGAGGCGTGGAGCACAAGTGCGGTGGTCTTGTTCTTTAAGAAAGGGGACAACGCTCTCTTGAAGAACTACAGACCGATTTCCCTTCTGAGCCGCGTCTACGTGCTATTTTCGAGTCATTACGAATCGTCTCGCACGCAGACTCGACAACTTTCAGCCTCCCGAACAAGCCGGTTTCCGAAAAGGTTTCAGCACCATAGACCACATACATACACCTGCGGCAGATTGTACAGAAGACCGAAGAGTACAATCTGCCACTTTGCCTGGCGTATGTGGACTATGAGAAAGCCTTTGATTCCGTCGAAATCGGGGCGGTACTACAGTCCCTTCAGCAGTGCCAAGTTGACTGTCGGTATATCGAAGTGTTGAAGTGTTTGTACAGTAGGGCTACGATGGCTATCCGAGTACAGAACCAGAGCACGAAACTGCAGAGAGGTGTAAGACAGGGTGACGTTATATTCCAGAAACTCTTCACTGCTGCATTGTAAGATGTTTTCAAGCTCTTGGACCGGAAAGGATACGGTATTAACATCAATGGCGAGTACATCACACTCACCTTCGATTTGCCGACGATATAGTGCTTATGGCAGAATCGCTGGAGAACTTAAGCACTATGCTCAATAACCTCATGACCTCAATAGTGTCTCCCAACGGATAGGTCTTAAGATGAACATGGATCAAAAGAAAGATCATGTTTAACGTCCATGTCACACCTATGCCGGTAGTTGTTGGGAGCACTAAGATCGAAGTTGTTGACGAGTACGTTTACCTGGGACAAATAGTCCGACTAGGTAAGTCCAACTTCGACCGAGAGGTCACTCGACGGATTCAACTCGGCCGAGGAGCGTTCGGGAAATTACGATACATCTTCTCGTCAGGTATACCTCAAAACCTGAAAACCAGACTGTACAACCAGTGCATGTTGCCACTGATGACTTACGGATCATTATCATCGGATTGGTCCTTCACTGTCGGCCGTATGAGGACGTCCATGGTCGCTCAGCGAGCTATGGAGAGGGCTATGCTCAGGATTTCCCTGCGTTATAAAACTATGGCAAATATCTCGACGATCATTTATGACGTAAACTATTGGGGAGGGGACTATGTTCAGTGGAATACTCCTTACAGGCCGTAATGAATGAGTGAAATGAAATAATAACTGGCTTGAATAAAGTTCTCACAGACTGATAAATGTACAATACTTCATAATAAATAACGTGCATATACATTTTTGTACATAGTGAAAAACATCTGAAACAATCGTTATACATTACAAAAACGATTGACGAAAGTGATTTGGTCTTAAAACACTCATATATCGGGTTTTATCATAAACTTATAAATGTGAATATCACTTATAAGATCAGCAATCAGTTGCAAGTCAAGCGAGGGCTGAAGTAAATGTGTCAGTTACAATGAGGCTTGATCGAAGAGAGGTGATAAAACCGCTATGGTGTTTTGTTTTTCAAAGTAAGAAGTATAAGTATGTCGCAATAATAATTTGTTAGATTAGATCTATATTTTATACCGCCTGGACGCGGTGGCTCATATTCGGAAATACGAAGTCAGCCGATGTACAATGTTAATTCTAAAGTTGTGTAGACGCGGCAGATTACCGGCAGGCGCGGATATCTTCCGCTGGTGCGGCATGGCAGCGACGGTGGCGAGCTCCTTCTCCGGGTTGCGGCCGGCGAAGTGCAGCCGGTCCTGCGATCCGCCGAAGTTCTCCACCGTGAGCTGGCTGTCGTCCGAAATGGACGAGCGCCGCGAGCGCCGGCCCGCGAACGACTCGCGCGCGCCGCGCTGTGACGGCCGCCCGGCCGCCACGCCCGCCCCTGCCCCCGGCCCCGCGCCCGCCCCCTGGCACAGCGCTACGCACACAACAACCGTTTTAACCAATTAAACGTGACAAACGAGCACGCAGTCCACCTTATGACCGATTTACACTTCGACAAGTACAGTAGCGAGTTAACTTGCCAACCTGGTGAGTTAAGTTAAAAATCTCGTTTAAACGGCAATAAGCTAGTTAAGTAACAAGTTAATAATTAAGTTGAACAGGATAGCCGACCGGACTATTTTTCGGCGAGTTAAGTGCGAAGTGCTGCCCTCCCGCTCATCTCACGCTACCCGCAACTAAACTCGCCGCTCGTACGAATGAGGTTAGAAATTGAACTATTTCAATGCATAAGTTGACAGGACGCAACGTTTGCGCGCCGAAACGTATTGTGGCCGTTGGAAGGAAAGGGGAGATCTCCCGCCGGGCAAGGTGTTCTGCCCGGGGGAGCCGCCGATGCTCCGTGTGATAGTTCGGACATATTCTATATATACTGTTTATATTTCGGAATTTCGATAGCGTGATTTAGGTTTCGGTGTGTTTTGCTTGCGGCGCGACGACAGCGCCGCCACATCACCCCCCTGCTCAGACCGGAGGTCGATAGTGCAGCCTCGTTGCCGACGAATGTGCAAGTGCCAGGAGATTGCCTTGTAGTCTGCGGTGAGTCGAGAAGAAGGCAAGTAATCTGCGAGAGTGCCGTAAAGGAGAGGCGAGCAGTAAGGCTCAGAGCCATGCCGAACACTGTGGCGCAGAGAGTAGCTCGAAGGAACAGAAAGCATTATTATTCCAGTGCTGCGATGAACCTTGTGAAGCTAGATGGCTTGCAGGAATATGAAGACTGCAGACGATATCTGCTCGGGAGCGAATGGGTGGGGTACTCTACGACGATGATGAAGCTTAAGTTTCCGAAGGTTGTTGGTTGCGTGTTCAGATCACGTCGGGGTCACCACTGTGGCCGTTGGAAGGAAAGGGGAGATCTCCCGCCGGGCAAGGTGTTCTGGCCGGGGAGGGGATGTTCTATATATACTGTTTATATTTCGGAATTTCGATAGCGTGATTTAGGTTTCGGTATATTTTGCTTGCGGCGCGACGACAGCGCCGCCACAGTATAATTGTACCTTTATAATTAAACTCGCCACAAAGTTTGTACGGTACTGTTTATTGAATATTTATACGTTTTATATTGAGTTTTAATAATGAAATGGACGGAAGATATCACGTATAAATTCGTACAGGAGTATTTAGAACACGAATGTTTATTTAATAGTCGAAGTTTAAATTATAAAATTAAACCTACTCTAGATGCTGTACTCATGAAAATTCCTAAAAACTTCTTTAACAACAACCAGTAATATTTCTCTAACTATATCATTTAATTTTTGACGTAAGCCTAGATCCATCTTAAACGAAAACAAGAAAAATTTTGTAGTCTTGAAACGTCACACTCTATTGAACTCTATGAACTAATGTCCTTAACTAAACTCGTCACGAAGACATTGTTTGAACGCTGCTGCCCACTTAACCATTTACTGGCAACTGTCCTATAACTAATCTCGCTACTGTACTTGTCGAAGTGTAAATCGGTCTTTATGCCAAGTGGATGCTGTGACAATGAAGGTATCATCTTTAATGATAGAAGCTCTTGTCCAGCAGTGGATATTTAAAAGCTGATGAAGAAGGAGAGAAGAAAACCGGCATATAATTAGTAAAAAATGGGTGAGTCACGCATTAAAAATGGAAACCTATAAATATTAACTAATAACAAATTAAATATAATACGTATTCAGTCAATGTACAATATATTACGCAAGCATCTGGTTTTCTACGCTACGTATTAACAGAACACGCGCCGCATGCGTGTAGAAAGTAGTCTCCCACTATTTCAATTCAACTGCTGGTTGAAGTATGAGAAGGGTCAGCATTTCACTTTAATAATACTCAAACACGAAGACCTGGTAAGAAACAAAGAAGTTCATGGATATACGTGGCTCAGGACTGAACTTATGAGATTTCCTGGTACGTCGGCGTACGGCCGGCAGTGGGCTTGGGATGGGGAGTATCGATGATGACGATGAGTACCGTTTTCCTCGTCGCGGCGCACGAGCGCGGAGAGCGTGGTGATGGCCCGGCCGCGGTGCACCACGAACTCGTCGCGCTGTGGGCTGGCACTGCGTCGCTCCGGCGTCGAACACGCCGACCGACCAGCCGCGCGCCCGCGCACCCCCGCGCTCATAGGCGACCGCGACACTGTAAATACGAACTTGATGTCACCGCTTAAAGCACACAATTCAATGAACAAATAATGGACATCACCCATTATGCACTTCTTAGGGACATTGCGAATTAGACCTTATTGCCAGTATATCACAGCTTACATATGAATGATGATTGGATTTGTGAACGCAGATCGAAACTGCGCGAATTCAACGTTATTGTCACCAAATATAGCTCTTAATAACTTTATTTAACCATTTGAATATAAATTTGTTTTGTTCGCGTATTTGATTATTCTGTAGGTTTTATAGTTAATTACACACAGATCAGGAAAATAGAGTGCAACCATACTTATTTGTCACTTGTAAGAGGCTCAAACCGTGAGATCACCCGTTATATGGTGCAGTTTAGATAACAATGGTAAGTGCAGTCACAACTTCTGATAAACCGAAAATGAATTCATGAAAAGCAAATACATTTTGCTACACTTTTTAAAACAGATGCAAATAGCATTGATCACAAACACAATCACTCGTATGACTATACTACGATGGCATAAATATAACTTTAAAATTTACTCTTTAAATGGCTAACTGAATAGCAATGGTGCAGCAAACGCATGTAATGCAACCTACGCGACAAATTTATATCGTAATGTTATTTTCCATCGCTTAGAGACCCTATCAGTACCACTAGTTTACATTTTGCAACACGACTTGAAAAGTATTTCGAATTAAAAAATTATGTGAAATTAAATGATGATTTTCTTTAATTGCGGAGGCGTTATTAATAATTAAAAAAAAGTCTTTGAATATGCCTCACTTATATTATTTTGTACTACAATATGCTTTATGTTAACAACCAAGACGGTCGATGTACTCTGAGCAACATAGTCTTTCGTGAATGCTGGCACTTATTCAGTTTACTGATGCCGGTGATAACACTGCATTGCATAGCGCTGGCAATTCTGATACAGAGTAAATCCTTGGTATAGTCAACGTGCGCGTAAGCATATTTCGCGCCACTGTAAACACAATTCTAGCAGGGACACTTACTCAGTTCTCTCCTTATTAATGCTTAGTTCCAGTATAACCAATTCAAAGTTTAACTAAATTATCAAAGGCAAACTATTAATTAAATATGAAAAGATGTTTTATATAAATATGCAATTATCGAAAGATGCTATGATATTAACAATCGAAATGTAGGTATATTAATTTGTGACCTCTAGTACTACAGGCAATATATGGGAAACTAGAAAAATGGTTCTTGTTCTTATAGCAATCCAAGACTGAAATAAAGTGAATGTTAAATGCTTTTCAACTTTAAAAATAGTAAAGAGAAAATTGAATTACAGTCACATTACTGGTGAATCTACAATGAAATTGAGAAATTGAAGACAACATAATGTAAGATTTTCCCGATTTTACACAAATAATTAATCTATAACTTGTCGGGAGTCCTGAGGGCATAATGTCAGAACTCCTTTAGACTTTTTTTGAGGTTAAAGAAATAAAAATAAAAACAATCAAGTGTAAAGCCGTTACACATGCGAAAGCATTAATCAAGACCATATAAGCATTAATGTAGTGCAATAATCGAAGCAAAAGCATTGTTGAATTAATGACATTACATAAGAAATGCTATGAAAAATATCCATTGTTTGAAATTTAAAATATCTTAAATCAGCATACTTATGATAAATGAAAAATACACACACAAACCTTTGCTGTGCTAACCGATCTGTGATTCGAATTGCACGGAAGACAACCAATCAAATTTGAAAATATATATAAATAGATAAACATTTAATAATACAATTATTTGACTATTGTTTAAAAATTGGAAATAATTTTGAAGAGGTGAAATTCTTTTTATTATTTCAAAATAGATTACTCTAAATAATAAAGAATATTATAACTTTTTAAAATAATAAAATTTACTACTACTGTATTTAAATGTTACCGGTGAAAAAAATTGTTGACTACTTTAGCAGTCGAAATAGTTGTCTTCCTTGCACACAGTGTGTGTTCCCGCGGAGTGTGGGTGGGAGTGTGAGACAGCACGACACAGGGTACCTGGCAGGGGCGCCGCCGTCATTTGGGCGTGTGCGTGGGCGTCGGCGCGCAGGTCGGGGATGGGCACGGGCGACGGCGGCGGCAGGCAGCGCTTGTGCCGCACGCCGTGCGCGTTGCTGTCCGCGCGCGCTGCGGACACGCGCACACGCACGCTCAGCGCGCTCCAAGCACGCACGCGCGCACGCACGCGCGCTCGCACGCACGCACGTGCACACGCAGTCACCCTGCCTTCACTTACCGACGCGGACGCGCGTGTTGTACCACATGCATCACTCGTATGCATTCAGTGTCGAATTTCAATGCAATTGCTAATTCTGCATGTTAGATGTCGAAACGCATAACAATTTAAGGTTAAGATTCAGAAAAATTGATAATTAGTGAGTGCATTTAAAGCCAAAGTATTTGTTTTGTACTCATATACAAGCTATATTACAGAAAAATGTAACTTTCGTCAACAGTAAAGTGAATGATAATCGAAAAGACAGGGTGACTTGATAGAGAATAAGACGATATTCAGCAAAGCAACATTCTTACTTCATTCTGAGTACCTTGAAACGACTTACCTCTACACAATTTTTGAACTTAGAACAAATGAAAAAAACACTATTCGTTAAAATATAAGAAATTCGTAATGCAAATTAAATTACTGCGTTCATTCAATACCTTCGTATCTAAATGGAAAACCACAAAGCCCAGATTTGCCTAAAGTGAACAACTTGCGTTACAAAAGCGTTTTGGACCACCCCATGATTAATGACTTCTTTAGATACGGATAAATAAACAAAATTAGTGGGCATAGGACCTTCAATATTATGACCACATACTCCCATTATAGTTCTATGCATGCAACATCGGTTTAAATCAAAATGTTAATTTACGAGAAACTGTTGTTAAATGTACTCACCAATGCCGGGATACTTGACAGACTTCACAGGATGAACTTCTAGCATATTGAAAAGATCAGCGAGCATTGCTACTAAGTTCTGACGCATGGAGCTGAAAAAAGAATTAGGTATTTTTATTTAGAAGAAAGAAACCTCATTACTCATAATACTGGGGTTTATAATCCATGTGTGGCAGAGGAAATATTATAATTCTCTAAATAGCAGATAGATCCTTCACATCACCACATGGATATCATGTTCAACGATACATCACATTCCACCGGTGAACAATGTTTTGTGGAAATTTAGTGGCAATTCATAAGCATAGCGCTTGGTAAGTGATTTGGGAGAACCAAATGCTGCTTCTCATCGGCGGTTTAAGAACTTTACATTTTTATGAAGTACCATTTATTGGAAGGCTATCGAATTATTCTGAACGACATTATGTGATGCGCTGATGAATTCTCTTATGCTGCAATTCATGCATGCAATGTTGGCAGTATCGAAACATTGAACTTGACGAGACTGCTGTACTCACCCTCGCATGTAGGCGACGTCCTCGGGCATCATGTGGAAGATGTCGTGCGGCAGGCGCTCGCGGCAGAAGTCTCGCACAAGCATTAAGTTGTGCAGGCAGTCGTGTATGGAGGCCATGCGGCCCACGCGCACGGCACTCCGGGGCAGCACCTCCGGGCAGTAGAATGACACGAGCGCCGCCAGCGCTGTGCCGTCGCAAACGTCCTGCAGGCTCTTCACGGGTGGCACGGGTGACGACGTGTCCTCCTGAAGTAGGTGTTCAACATTTACAGATTCACAGTTTAAGGTTTATTACTGAGTTTTGACAGCGTTCTGAAAACGGGAATGTAAAACCTATGTGTTTTATGTAATACATATGGATCTGAAAAGTGGTCCTTACGGCTGGCCGTTTGAGATAGTTCAAGTTCGCTCAGTGAGCTATAAAGAAGACTATTCTCTAGTTTCTTTGTATTACAGACTTTGTAATAAGCATATACGCATTACTAAAAGGATCAGTAAACTAAAGTGGCATTTAGCAAGCCATATAGCTCAAGGAACCGACAACCGACGTAAGTAAGATTTTCTGTGGTGTATAGTGGCGGCCTCTTACTAAATGAAGCGACGACTTGGTTAGAGATGAGTGAAGTTGATGAGTGTAGGTGGTTAAGGAAAGTAAAGTAAAGTAAAGTTACAGCCTATATAATGCCCCACTGTTCGGCACAGGCCTCCCCTCATTTCTGAGAGGGTTTTAGGGCAAGGAAGTGTCCGCCGCGCTGCCCCAATGCGTGTTGGCGAACTTCACATATCTTCGAAATATTTTTTTCTTATTCCTCAGACATGCAGGTTTCCTCATGATGTTTTTCTTCACCGCCGAGCACGTGGTATATCATCACTTAAAATTGCAATTAACAATTTGATTGGTGCCGGTGGGGATCAAACCCGAGTTACTCGCGTTCTGTTATATTTACAGCGAGCGTTAACCATCTGAGCTACCACGGCTCAGATGGTTATTGCTTGCTGTGGTTAAGGACAGTGCTTTGTGGCATTTCTTGAGGAAAACCTATGTTCACCGTTGAACTTGTGCTGGGTGGTTATCAGTTATGATGATGAAGAGTGGTAAGCTGTATTTTCCAAGTGATTTAGATGTAATGAATACCTCTGCGGTGTTGAGCGCTGCGCACGCCGCATTGATCCAGCTGATGAGTCCATCCTCATGGGTAGGGCCGCCGGTCGGCGGTTGCAGTGTAACGCCGAAGCGCTGTATGGCCGCCGCCACGCGGTCTACGGTTACTACTTCTCGCGCGTACAGCACCATCAGAGCCTCCATCACCGCCATATGCGCGCTCTGCAATACCGCCAACATAACTTGTCAATTTCTAGTTGTAATTTAACGACATGCGGCAACTTTTACAATGAAAATTTTAGAGGTTTAGATCATTTGATGTAGATGTAAAATAACCAGACCGGTAACGAGCAGCATACATCGCGTCATACGTTTATACGTGGTAGATCCACACTGCAGCTATATTATGGTTATAGCACGAACGGGTCGGCTCGACCGGGGAAGGACCACGCTCTCACAGAATACCAGCGTAAAATAGTAGCTTAATACAGTGTAGAGAACCGGAGACCCTTTTTTAAAGGAAACGAGGCATTCCATCTTAGTCCTCAGGGGCGACAACGCATCTGCGGTTTGATTCTTAATTGAGGATAAATGTAGATGTCTATGGGCTACAGTAACCACTAGATGGACTGTGTACTCGTTTGTCATCCTTATTCTATAAAAAATTCGTGCGAAACGTCTGGTACTGTGATCTTCAATCCGCCCGCCATACGTGACGATTACGCCAAATCCTCTATTCAACGGGAGAAGTCCATGTTTAGACGTATGCCAGCTGATGACGAAGTAGAAGATTGATTGAAGATTCTCTACGAAAAATCAACCACAATCAACAAGTAATGTCTTTACCAAGCCAAGCGCAAAATAATGGCAAACTCTCTACTTGGATGAAGGATTTCACAGTTAACAGAGACATTTCAACATTATGAAATTTAAAGACATTCATTCAGATATGATTATTGCGAAGCCCTTAGGTGTAATTTTGAAAAATAATTCAAACGCAATCGTGTTTTACGTAAGAGTCGTGATTCAATTTGCAGTAATCTACATTATACCATTCTTATTCGTATAAAATTATTACCAAACGACATTCTATTGAACATTGAGCAAATATAAAAAAAAACTAATTTTGATAATAAAACATTGCTCAGTATAGAGCACACGATTGTGCAACATTAATTAATTGCCAATATGAAACGTGGTTTAAACATGCGACGCCACTTTAGGCTGGCCGTGTCCGTAAAGGCGGATAAAGTCAAACTATACTTACTATACAGCTTTTCGCTTGCCTTATAAGGTTCAGCCCACACTACTGAATCACTCTCAATCCACTTTCGGTTCAGCTATAATATTTTCTCGATAGATCACGGTTACAAATACCATATGTTAATGTTAGAACTTTTTTAAATATTTTAAAAGAATACTTTCATTTATTTCGGTCGTTTGAATGTAACTCTTTTTTTGTTAATCACAGTCTACCTGATGGTAAGTGAATACTGCGGCTCATTGACATCTATATAATGCCAATGTGTTGTTATCCCTGAGGACTGAGATGTAATGTCTGAAAAAGGCTCCTCAGTTCTCTATATAGCAGCATCATTCTGCTGGTTCACGCTGGTATTCTTTGAGATGGTATTATTTTATGTGGTAGAGCAATGCTGCAGTTATACTGTAGTTGCAGCACGAAGGTCGGTTCGACCGGGGTAGGACCACACTCTCAGAGAATATCAGCGTAAAATAGCAGCTTGATGTTGCTGTGTTACGTATGCTGAGTGTAGAGAACCGGAGACCTTTTTTACTGGAAACGAGACATTCCATCTCAGTCCTCAGGAGTGACAATGCATCTGAATTTTGATTCTTCTTAATTGCAGATGAATTGTAGATGTCTATGGGCCACAACATCCAATTACCATTAGGTTGACTCTGTGCTTGTTTGTCACTCTTATTCTATTTAAAAAAAGAGAGCATAGTCCTACTCCAGTCAACCATACATGTCCCTACTATGATAGTAAATGCTGGTGGCGCATGGACACCAACATTTTTGTTCTTGATTAATAATAAATTTTCAGCCCTCAGAATTAAAATGGAATACCCTGTTACCAGTATTAAAAAAATCGCCTCTGGTTTCAATTACTACTTAAAAAAAGCATTAAGCAGCTATTTGACGCTAGTATTATGAAATTAAAAATTTGAATTGTCAAGAACGTATCCTTTCCTGGTCAAAACAAAACATTCGAGCTGCAGCAAAAGTGGCACTACAATGTAAGTGGCGAGTTAGTGAATCTTTAATACCTGAAATTTTTTATATATATCTAAAAATTTAGCTTTAACTTTCTCGTTTGGCTGATGCTTGGATGTTAAAATAATGTGTTACACAGCTTTATTAGTGCACTATAGATCAGTAATTTATAAAGGCACGTAACGAAAGTGAAATTATAAAGATATATTTGAAAGGGCATTGCCGTTAACACTTTTTTTAATAGTTTTCATTTCCTACTTTAAACAGTCGCGATCTTTACTAAATTTGTATACATTTAATATATAATAGTAACTGAGTAGTGGCGGCGTAATAAATCCAATATTCTATACTATCCCATGGGTGTCGTAAAACGACTGGGTAGAAAATGAAACAGCATTTCCTGATAACTCAAAATTATTAAAAACAGTGCTTGCCAACCCAACTGCCAAGCATGGCAAATGTGGTCAGTTCATTAGTAGACTTTTGATTAGCTTTAATAAATGAATGCATAAATAAATATATTGAACTTCGCTTTAAACGTGCCTTCATGTGTGCTGTTTTTTATTTATAGAATAAGGGTGACAAACGAGCACACAGTCCACCTGATGGTAAGTGAATCACAGCATTCACATTGAGCCACAGCCCATAGACATCTACATTTATCCTCGATTAAGAATCAAAACACAGATGCGTTGTCACCCCTGAAGACTAAGATGGAATGCCTCGTTTCCAGTAAAAAAGGATCTCCGGATCTCTACACTCACCATACGAAACACAGTAGTATTAAGCTGCTATTTTACGCTCGTATTCTGTAAGAGCGTGGTCCTTCCCCGGTCGAGCCGACCCATTCGTGCTACAACCATAATATAGCTGCAGCGTGGCTCTACCACGTATAAAAAATTAACATTACTAGTTAATGCGGAAGCATGCACAATACGGAAGAATGAACAGCAATATTTAATAGTTATTCGAAATTTCTAATTAGCAACATTTCGATTATTTTAATAGTCGATGTTCAAAATTCGTAACATTACCTATAAATACATGCAATTATAAGAAAAGATATTCTTTTCATTTCTGCCTTTTATCGTTGTTACACTATTAAGAGATTCCACTTTTATTATCGATCCAATAATAGCAAAAATGAGTACAATACAATATCTACAATGAAAGACTAACGCTGAAGGCATAGTTATTAGCAAGACCAAGAAGGCGGAAGAGATTCCTGTTATTACGGTATTCTGCCCACTGCAACTGCGGCACCTAGTTTTTCAAGTTATTGCTATCGGGCGTGGGATGCGCCTTTCGATTCTAAACTAGTTTTTTGATATAGCCATTATACAGCATGACCTTTTTTATCGTCTGGAAAAAAATAGGGTGTAACATGTTAACGGAGTAAAAGCCTGTGGAAATAATATTTTACAAAAACTAAAAACAAAAATTTTGAATTAGATAAATAAATAAACTAAAATCTATCGAAATATCAAATCATATCCACCCTACATTACGAACGGCAATAAAACAATAAATTTAGTATGAATCTTTGACCTTGTCACTTCGCAAGGTCACAGGCTAGGGTAAATATGATTCGAATTTCGGTAGATTTTAATTTATTTATTTATTTAATTCAAATTATTTTTTTGTAAAATATCTGTGCCATAGGCTTTTCTCTACGCCGTTCACATGTTACACCCTATTTTTATCCAGACGATAAAAAAGGTCATACAGTATATTACATAAGTTTTTAAAAATAACTTTTATGTGCACAAATTACTTTTCGTTTAGTTTAGAACGCCATCACCTAGCGTGCAACAAAAATTAAAATCTTTATATTTTATTTTTAAAATTAATAAAAGTGCTGTATCAAATTATTTATTGTTAAATCTTCAGATGACCAGCAAAGTCGTCCTAATAGCAACGAGGAAATAAAAAAAACTGCGGTTTCCAAAGCGTAGCATAAGTTTCGCCGTAGCGTAAGTTTCCACCATGACAAGTATTCTCTATGAGGCAATCTATGGGAAACCTAAGTCATATGTCGCCTCTACACATTGGCTAACACAGTGGCGAATGTAGTGGCGAATATATTGGCCGAGAGTTGGTGACGGCGTCCACACGTTGGATGGTCGTTTAATTTACTTCGGTTCGGGCCAATGTACGGACGGACGACGGCTCCGTGGCGCAGTGGCTTAGCAATAGTGGCTGTTACCCGGGGGCCGCGGGTTTTAATCGCGCACGGAACAAGTATTTGTATGTCCTATAACTAATTGTTCCCGGTCTGGATGTGTGTCCTTGTGCAACTTATGTTTGTAAACTGCCTCCGCGATACAGGAGAAAATTTTCGTGTGGGGATAACCTTTTTATAAAAATATTATAAAAGAATATTTGATATTAATGGGGCTGTAAATAGATATACGCTATACGATTAGCTTTATTTATTCTCTACATGCATCATAAACTGGAATAAATACCATAAATTAGAACTTAACTTATTTTAAAGTTAAAGGAGTTATAATCGATTAATCTACGTTTTAAAATTGGGTTTTGATTTTAAAGTTTAGCAAAACATGTACTTGCTTTTCTATCAGACATTTGATGTATATAAAAAACACCTTATAATTTATTTGGTAATTTAATTATTTTTTGAGAAAGACAAAAACAATAGCAATAAATATAATTAGCACTGACTTAGTAATAGGTACTAATTATAACTTAGAACATAAATGAAAAACTCATGACAAGGAAAGTGACTCAGGACCATGCTTTGCGGCAGTCTGTGGAGGAGGATGTTCAGTAGTGGACTTGTGAACAGCTGTAATGATGATGATGATTCGAAAACTTGCACGATTATTTTATAAGAAATCGACGCTTTTTTTAATAGGATAGGGTGACAAACGAGCACACAGTTCACCTAATGGTAAGTGGTTACAGTGGCCTACAGACATCTACATCTGTCCTCGATTACGAATCAAAATGCAGATGCGTTGTCACCCGTGAGGACTAAGATGAAATGCCTTGTTTCCTTTAAAAAGGGTCTCTGGTTCTCTACACTCACTATACGAAACACAGCATCATTAAGCTACTATTTTACGCTGATATTCTGTGAGAGCGTGATCCTTCCCCGGTCGAGCCGACCCATTCGTGCTACAACTATACTTCTAATATAACTGCATGGTTCTACCACGTATAAACGACGTCCTTCTTCTTTTCTTTTTCATTTTAAAATTGTTCTCGTAATAACCTGATTGTAAATAAATGTCCGTTTTTTTTTTTTGATAAATAGCTTATCGATTAAAACAAATGTTTAAAAATAATTAAATCGCGCTAATTAAAGTAGTAGGAATGTTTAAAGTTGAAATTGGCACTAAAAGGCTAGTAATTGGGGCATCCACCCTACAAAACTTGAATATAAAATTTAAATCAGATGCGTGTAATCACTCTGGGAGCTTGTAGCAAACTAAACGCGAGGCCAAAGTGTGGACGCGGCGACCAAACTCTGCCAACAATCCTTTGATCTTTTGTAAAAAACCGACACCACCCGGATCTCGCGCCAACGTTTTCCAATACATACCAATGAAGCCCAACCACCCCGTCTACACGTTGGCCAATGCTACTGGCCACTACATTCGCCACTGTGTTGGCCAACGTGCAGAGGCGCCGATAGGCACAACCCGATCCGCCAGTAGGCCATGTTGTACCTCGAAAATTTGGTGGTTCTTCTACTTCACATACTTTTTTAAGTTTCATAGATTACGAACCAAATTTTTGGTACATTATTTTCGACTATATGACTATGAATTTCATAAAAGAAAAATACGATAAAATGTGGTTTTCTCGATAGAAAAAAATTGCAAATTAGGCTCTCATTAGTTACATTTCTCCATGACGATTAGAGATCGAGGTCAAGATCACAAATTGCCAGTCGAAGGTTAAGAAGATCTTTGCCTGGTAAAGTGATCAGCCTGGATCAGCGGCACAGAACGTCCTTTTTCGGTGATGTTAGTATTGTAAGCTGTCCTGGCTTGACTTTTATAACTTCATCGAACTGATGATGATTATTAAGTCTCTACGGGTTAGACTCATTTCAGTGTACGGTAGTTTTATTTAACTACCAACCCAGGGTATGTGGCACCCCAGACACTAACGGCCTAGCTCGTGTGTGCCGATCTAGGCGTCATGGTACTACCACACATGTGTGGCATGGCGGTGCTTCTACGGCAGAGTCGTTCGTAAACTTCAATAGTGTGAGACTTCTTGGACTATATTTGACGACTTCGGTGAATATGTGTCATAGGGGCGGGTGTCAGCGCCGCCCACATTACATTCATTTCTCCTGTCATATATTAAAAATGGTATAGTCATAAGCCCCTATCAACTGTTAACGAGGTAAGGCGTTACATCTTAGTCCTCAGAGTTGACAATGCATCTGTATTTTGATTCTTAATCGAGGATGGATGTCTATAGGCCACAGCATTCACTAACCATCAGGCGGACAATGTTTACTTCTCACCCATACTTCTATAATTTAAAAAAAAAGCGCGCTTACCATCTTAAGCGGGTTCGTTTGTATTAGCACTGTCTCGGTGAGCGCGCAGTCGGCGGGGTCTGGCACCGGCACACCCTTGCGCGCCAGCGTCTGCAGGATATTCCAGTGGCTCAGACTGTGGTAGTTCGGGTCCGAGTACATGTTCGCCAGTGCCAAGCAGTACAATTCCGCGTTCGCCAGACCGCCAACTATCGGCGGCTTAAGGTGTTCTTGATCCTGAAAAGAAAATAATCCAGGCTTTAACTTACGCATTTTAAACAATAGCATACATTAGTTTCATAACTACATACTATAGAAACAGACATGCTCTTCATTTTTTTTAATACAATGATGTGTCTGAGGCAAATGATAGAATATGAATTTAAATTAAAACCAGAGATATACTCAGTACTCAAAGTTGAAAATTTCTATTCGTATCTTACACGAATTTGAAATTTCATAAAAATTTAACTTAATTCATCTTTAAATCAACCAGGGTAGAGTTTCAACCGAAGTCACCTTACCTGTGCAACAAACAAATTATTGGTTAACAAAAATATAATAACCTTTATCGACACATCGCACGGAGGCTTCGGGGCTTTATATAACCCTACCTGTAATTTTATCACAACATTTATTCGGAATTTTATTACAAGGGAACTTTTCTGTGTTGTTCGCAGTAGGAGAACCTAAAAATTAACCGAGAGAAGTTGCCTGTGTGGTTGAATATATTCACTATAAATATTTTTACATTTAAAAACTAACTTGCGATCCGGCCCGGCTACGCTCGGGTGATTTCTGGATCTCGCCCACAGTGCCACCTACCGGATACAAATGACAATATAAACCATCCAGTGACCCATTGAAACGCACACAAAAAAGAGAAAATAGTTCGAGCCGTTTTAGAGTTTTAGCGAGACTAACAACGGACAGCAATTGATTTTTATATATAGAGATAACGTATGAGAAAGTGTTAACCGCAAATAGGTATCAAATAAGGACCATTGTATCATTTATTATAGCGTCATCGGTTACTATTATTCTGTATACGGTCATTGTCAATTATCATATACCAGAACAAATTAAAATGTAAATATTCCAGAATAAATGCCATAGAATAGAATACAGAAGGGTAAGATTAAATACAAAATAATAACACAGGTTGTAAAACCAAAACAAATACTGTTTCCGAAAGGATAATACTAAAGATAATACTAGTAAGTACTATACATACATAAACACTCACGCCTGTCACCCCAGAGGGGTAGGCAGAGACTACAGACTTCCATTTGGCACGATCCTGACACACCTCTCTCGCCTCCTTCACATCCATACACCTACGCATACATGCTCGTCGGTTAAGGGTACTCCTAATTTGGCTCGTTTTCAATAAATCGCCAATTTGGTCGATAAATTTTCGCCTAGGACGTCCCTTTTCGACTCTGCCATTCACTTCTGCAACATAAATTTTCTTTGTCACTCTTTCCTCATTCATTCTTTCCACATGACCAAATTATAGTAAGTAATATTATCATAAAAACAAATATAGTTAGGAGTAAGAGGTTACTATAACTAATAATCTTTACGTGTGAAATAGGTTACAGGATAACAACACAAATAATAACTTTTTTAAAGTAATTATATTTTTTAGGTGGTAGAGCCATTCTGCAACTATATTATAGTTGTATCATGAATGGGTCGACTCGACCGAGGAAGGACCATGCTCTCACAGAATACCAGCGTAATGCTGCTGCATTTCGTATAGTTAGTGTAGAGAACTGGAGACCTTTTTTACTGGAAACGAGGCATTCCATCCTAGTCCTTACGGGTGACAATGCATTTGCATTTTAATTTTTAATGTAGGTTAAATGTAGATGTCTATGGGCCACAGCGACCACTTACCATCAGGTGGACTGCGTGCTCGTTTGTCACCCAATGCTATATAAAAACAAACAGTATTTGCAGGTTTTAATGATTTTAATAAGAATTAACTACTTCTTCATCAACTCGTGAAAGGTTTAAGTTCAGTTTATATTTAAAGATTTTGTTCATTGCTGTGACAAGGGGTTAGCAATGAAGGGCGACCGAGCCAGACTGATTGCTCTTTTCCGTCACACATATGATCTTCAAACAAAAATGTTTTGTTATTATGTGAAAAGCTAATAAATAGAAATCTGATTGCGATGCTTTATCTTAGAACCAAACAATGATCTTACGTTTAATATTTCCAGATGTCTCATTAAGTAAATGATGTTGTCTGCCGAAACGTGGTGAATCTACAATGAATATATTTTGTTCTATTGCCTATATATTATTAGTGTTCTCCAGACAGAAATTCGGGCTCGGTCACTCTCGGTCAAGTGTCACGAAGACTAGTCATCTGCACAGGATAGGATTATAAATGTGCAAGCACTGCTGCTCACACCATCCCTATTCCATCACTCTCAAAGTTCAATTAGACGGCAATCCGACACGACCGGAGAGAGATAAGGCACAGGTCCAACGATTTAACGTGCACTCCACAGGAGTGAAACACCGCGAACTTCCTGACTCTACGTCGCTACTGATTCGATACTTTCTTGACATAAAAACTAGCTGATTTCTAACTCATTCCGGGAGAGACCCGTGTCCAACAGTGTGACTTTTACGGACTAATGATAATGATTAAGTTTACTTGACAAAATGTCTTTTCAGTCTGTTGTATGGCTGTGAGATGACATTACTGCAACATTCGTATAGATTTTTGAGAATAAAATTCACAGACAAAAATTAATGGTTCGGTGTTAATGTTACTGCTTTATGTTTTCCGTGTAAGGTTAGTCATCTGAGTATAGAATATGTTATGTATAGTCAAACGCAGCAAATCCGCTATTAAGTATGGTGTTAACGGTGTATGACGGACTGCCTATGTGGCCAACGTAATAATATTGTCCATCAACCAACAGGTACCGTATTGCGATGATGAAGTCATAATCAAGTTTAATAACATAAACAAACAATTGCATCTTATTCAAATTAAGGTTTGCTATTTTGAAATTCGATATAAAGTAAAGAACAAATATCCTTGCGAGGGAGTGACAAAGATTGCGTCACGCAGTACAGGCGTGCGTGGCCAACCTTGCCGGGCCTTGGGCGTGGCCAGATGACGTTACGTCAGTAGTACAATAAACCTCGCTAACTGTGTCCCGACACCAAGTTATTATCGCGTGAGTTTATGGCTACTGTTAGACATATGAGTACGTATGGCTACACCGTTGTTTTAAAGCATTTTATTTTATCTAAGGTTGATAAGATAGATTACCTTTTGGTGAAGCGTTCAGTGTTTTGTAGTGCGCTAGCAACGACGAGTTCATTACCTCATTTTATCCTGTGGGCGTTTTGAGAAACGATTATGGATGCCAAAAGACTTCATGATCTCGATGAGCGATATAATGCAAAATGTAAAATGCAATCATTCTAGTTTATTGGGAGTTCATAGTTCGTAGAAATTATGCGATAAAAAAAAGTGTGTTTGCAAGACGATGTTGTGAAAGGAATGCATCGGTGGTTTGTACACGTAGAAAGCATGAGTGAAGAAAGATTAAAAAAGAAAATCTATGTTGCAGACGGAAACTTATCAACTAAATTGGTGATATATTGAAGTTGGGCCAAATTTAGATTTCTTATAACCGACGAGCATGTTTGGTGTAAATGAAGCGAGAGAGGTTCATCAGGATTCAGGATCGTGCCAAATGGAAGTCTGTAGTCGCAGCCAACCCAGGTGACATGTGTGAGTTTATGTTATGTATTTTTATGTTATTTTAAAATATAACAATCTATTATGATGTAGAATAATGTTTGTTTAATTGTTTTTCTATGTATTATCCTATTCCATGCTAAAGCATTCGCCTGATTGTCGTAATGTGGTAGCGGTGCGGTGGGTGTAAGACTGATGAAACATAAGACATTGAATTAGACGTGAACGTTGTCTAAGGAATAAATCTTAAGGAAACAATTTACTATTTCACATTTTTTACTTTTTATTAAAAGTGATATATTAACAATTGATACATAAAAAATATTTGGCCTAACACCTTATACACACTCCGTTTATATATTTTTATTATTTAAATCGGATTCACATGCAGTGAATCAAAATAAAAATCGTTATACTGTATGTTCTGAACACTATTCAAGATTATAAGCCTATGCAATAGGCTCGCCTTAAATGTTACGGTAAGCTCGGCTAATAGCAACTGGATGCGCAAGGCCGAAGATTGTGTTAAGTAACGCGTCTTGGGACTTGGAAAGATTCTATATCAGTGTATTGTCGTAGGTTATAGTGATAATTTTAGTGCATTTTAGATATCATACGGCATCTAGAAATAGGTTGGCTATCAAAAAAGAGTAACCTACTCTCGAGATTTCATTCTATTAATTATTGGATCCCAAGCACCCAGCCATCAGCCACGGGAACACCCAGTTATCTTCTTTATTCAAAAGGAAATTAATTTAAGCCTCACCAATAATTCATGATAGGATTCTGTATCCTTTTGCTGGTATTTTTGTATTATCAAATCCGATATACTTAATAGCGAAGACGATTCTGAACATGTTAACAGTGTGCAAAAACAACACCACGAAAACAAACTTTGCTGATAAAATATAATCATAAGGAAGCCAAACAAAAATTACTACATTTGTCTCCATTATTAAACCAATTCAAAAGATTTTAAATCCTCTACGGATTACCACACAAAGCGGTCAGAGCTATTACGAAATAAGCGAGTCCAAACAAATCCGAAGTAGAACTCGTCAGCTGGTAAACAATAAACTGGTTCGGTTCAGCCGTTACAACATTATATTGGCATCACGTTATATGACGGTAAAGCGCTAAATGATGATATCTGGTGGCAGTGCCAATCTAAAGCGGTTATTATGACATTGTTCCAAGGCACCGGTATTTCGTACTTCTTGATTGCCAACTAATTCAGTAGTAAAGAATACTTGGTTAGAGGCTCAGGTCCATTATTTGTGGCATTCTTTGGGTGAGGTTTATTTTTAGCACTGACTGGGATGATATGACTATATTGACATCTATAGCCTAATTACAGCCCGTTAGGTTAATACAATAACCTGAACCGATAGCGCTGACGTCGGTGAGTAGTAACTGCGAAGTTAGCTGTTTATGAGTACAAGTAGATGAAGTTAGTTGAATAATGTACAAATTTTCATTTCATTTTTAATGAGAAAATTTT